GCTTGTGATAGGGAACCCAAGGTTGAGTAAGGGTATTGTTGATGTGTTGTGAGATTGTTAACCATTGTCATAGGGCAACATTTGTAGTATCTGTTAAATGAGAAACTATTTTGTTCTGTAAGCCTTCATCCTAAGTGAGAATAACAGCACAATTGGAAGAGCGTAGTCAATGTCACTGAACTGTGTAGAAATTTTTGAAATGGTGTATCTTTGGCTATGTGTATTTTCAAGAAAAAAAAAGGTTGAGAAGTTAGAGGGTTGACATGTTGTGGGGCTGTTAACCAATGTCATAAAACAACATGTGTACTACTGTTTCATGAGGAACTATTTGTTCTGTAAGCCTTCACCTTAAGTACAATAAAAAAAAAAATAGCAATGTAAGTGCAAGATTCAGAAATTTTTAATATTTTCAGCGCAATGGAAAATTTCTTGTGTCCACTTGAATTGCTTCTAGGATTAAAGCAACACCTGGCATAGCTACCTCATGGTCATTAAAAACAAAACAAAACAAACTTGTTGCCGTTGAATCGATTCTGACTCATAGTGACACTACAGGACCGAGCAGAACTGCCCCATAGAGTTTCCAAGGAGCACCTGGTGGATTCGAACTGCCGACCTTTTGGTTAGCAGCTGTAGCTCTTAACCACTGCACCACGAGGGTTTCCCATGGCCATTGGATACCTGCCAAAAATGGAACTATTGTGTAGAAAACCCTAGTCCAGGATTTTCCATGTGCTATGTTGTTCATGGGAGATTTCAGAAACATCTTTACATAAAGCCTAGACTAGAAGATTTTATAGCTTCAACACCATGAATTATTTGAATGTAAAGATGAAAGAAGTTCCAGCACAAAGTGTAAGAAAAGCAGGCAAAACGAGGCCAGATTACCCTGAAAATACACAGCGGCATAACAGGAAGCAGGGCCTTGCTCACTTTGTGTAACGAATCCTAGAGACCAGAGAAGTCCCAGATGTTGCTGCCAGATCATTCTCCCATCTGGAAATGTCTTTGTCCTGGGCCCAATAGGTCTGTCCATTTCCACTTTTGCCTTCCCTTTTATGCACCATCACTTAGCCACATGGCCCTACTTGCTAATCCCTTATCCCTCTCTTTCTTCTCCAATGAACTCTACCACAAAATGGTCTGACTTAAAGGGGCAAAGGATTTTCAAGATTGTAACCCTCCTGTGCCACAACTGGGAGGCCTGGCATGCAACCGCCTCCCCTTGCCTCCCATCACTGTGGTGAGAAATTCTACCAATCCTTCAAGACATATTCAGATAAGACTTCCTCCATGAAGCTGCCCTGATTCCTTCTCTCCCTTCCCTCCATCCTGAACTCCTTCCTTTGGATTCTGTGGGGTGCAGAATTAACTTTACCCAAACAATGGGCTTTCATCCCTACTTCCTGAATCCATGGGAGAGAACACAAAAGCTCTGTGTTTAGGACCCTCCCAGACCTCACCTTATGAGACTTCTTTTGGCTCCATGTAACCTTTTAAAAATGCAACTGTAATAGTAAGAATAGCGCTCCCCAAGCTCTGTGGGTCATTCTAGTGAATTATCAAACCTGAGGAATTGGTGGGAACCCCTGCATTTGTAGGCAGTGGGTCAGAAGTGCAGGTGGCCTGGGAACCCCCAAGCTTGTAGCTGGTGTCTGAAGTGAGAGCAGTCTGTGCCCTTAACCTGTGAAATCTGACCTCACTCTGGGTAGTTCGGGCTGGATTTGCATCTGTTGACTCCCACTGCATCTTGATCTATACATCTTGGTGAATTATCATCAGTCTCTCTTCCCCTGGAATGTAAGCTCCTTGGGGGATGCCTAGGTAGAACTCGTATTTGTATTCTCAATTGCACCTTTGCACCTGGCACAATAAATATTTGTTTAAAGGATGCGTAGTAAATGCTTGCATGTATGGATGAATCTGAGCCTCTGGGAGGGATGACAGGGCCGGAGTGTTCAAACATAATACTAGAAACACAATTAAGCCAACCATGGCTGCCACTGTGGTTGGATGGGAACCTATAAAAAGACCCTACCCAACAACCAGAAAACAACCTTTCCCACTGGGACCCGAAATGTGATCATTTAGCAAACGATGCTTCGTGTTAACTCTGTGATTCCTGATTTAGAAAAAGGGTACGGCCTCCTTCAGGAAGCCTGAGTACCTTGTTGGGGACAATCTACTGCAAGTGAGGGTAGGAGACACTGGGAGAGGTGGGCGTCTATGTTAGCATCTTCTCCGAGGATGGACTCAGATGCGAACCATGTTTTCGTTTCCAAACGCGTTCTTCAGTTGCTTACTTTGTCCATATGCAGAAATCCCCGGATCAGAAAGTGCCAGTCATGCTTGCCTCTCATCCCTGTCCCATTTCATTTTTCTGTGATTTCTTTATAGACATAAGGCTGCTTGTTCATCGTCGTTCAATACAGCAACATTTCTGTATCTTTATGTTGCTAACAAATCCTGTTACAACCATTTCAGGCTGGATGCTAAAATGGTGTTCAGATGGTAAAGCTGGACTTAATAATTCAGTGAGATTTAATAACAGACAATTTATGTCAATTTCCCGATAATACAAGTCAGTTCCAATATATCCTATAAGGGACTTCCAGAAGGCCATGACATGAGGTGTCAAGAACATTTTCCTGGAGCTTTGAGAAGACTGTGAAGGCGCGCCAAGTTTGGTACTGTGCCTTCCATTACCATAGCCTGCATTCTTTTCTGCTCCTGGAGCTTTTTTTGTAATCTCAGCTGCACAAGATAAAATCTCAGTGGAGGACTGGTTCATTATAAGAAATGAGGGGTGCTAGTCTGCAGATCTTCCTTCCCTGTTAGTCCTCAGGGACCAACAGTAAGCACTGTGCATTCAAACGGTGAAACCTGTGGGGTGTTTCCTTACGAGCTCAACATACACGGCACATCCAGAGAACTGAGTACAGGAGCAGGGGGCCCCCACTGCCTCGCCTGTGCACATCTGTCTTCCTGGTCTAGTCCTAGGGGTACACCTGATATAGGTAACCTCCTCTGATGTGGAAAGTGCAAGTGTATGCAATGCAATTCGTTTATTTATTTTTTTTAAGGAGGAAGCCTTTGTTGGGTCACATGCCACACCAACACAACCAATTTTCAATTATTCGATTTTGAACTATTCACTGTGATCTTTGAGAAGCTCACAGGTCACTAGACGGCTTTATTTTTGGTGTCTTTGTTACTGTCCCTCCTGGGGGACAGTAACAGCAGTTAATAATGGGGAAATATTGGTTCTTGGTTAATCTTTACAAACAATATTTTTCAAAAAAGAACATGCTTGGAATTCAATGTGAACCAATCAATTAATTGCTGTGTTTATTCTGAAGCTTTATTTTGGAGTCCTAGAACACAAAAAACATGTTTAATGTTTACAACAAATATAAGAAATCGAGATGTTTTTATTTCTATTATTTTAGAGTAAAATTGTAGATAATGTTCCAAACCATCATCAAAAATGCAGACCAAACTTCTCTGTATATAAACTGTACATAAAAACAAGGCACTATACATTTTTGGGGCAATATTAAGGTAGAAAGGTTGATTCCCATAGATTCTTCAGAATCTATGTCATTAAGTACAAATTCTTCGTTCATGTTAGCACCGGAAGCAGTACTCAGAACAAGTCATCCTTAATGCTGAAGGAAATGTTTCCAAATGTGTATAAAGATACATATTGGTGGCAGAGCTAATTCAACAGAAGCAACTCCATCTACCTTTTAATATTATTTTGACACCAAAAAAAGAAAAAAAAATCTTCAAAGTGAATGAATACATAGTGCTTTGTTAAATACATACTTGATTTATATGGTGTTTATATAAATATATATATATATATTTTAGAATCCACAAACTATCAAAATAACACTTTATAAAGAGATCTGCTTCCAAAAAAAGAAAAGGCGGCAGCCAGCTGACGAGAGAGGACAGCGTGGCAGCATCTGCCGAGGAACCACTGTTGAAGGGCACGCAGAAGAGACCTGTATTAACGTTACCTGCTGAATCGGGGAAGGAACGTTTCCAATGAGTTCTCTTACACATTTACAAAATACACAACTCCAGGACAAGCAGTACAGCTAATCACTCCAGGTTTTGAACACTTGGATTAAAAATGTTGTTTCTGTTTTTTTAGAAATACCAGTCCAAAACAATCTCTGATTTGCTGGTCCAACGGTATCAGAAGTGACAGCCGAGACCCGTTCCTCCAGCACACTCTGCCGACGGCGGCACCGGTGCTCAGAACAGCCCTTTGGTTTTCTTCAGGTTCACCTGCTTCCAGGAGGGCAGCGCGTTGTACTCGTCTCGAGTCATGTCGAGTGCAAACTGGGGAATTGGGAGAAAACGCCAGCGGGTGAGCAAAAGGACTTCGGGACTAAGCGTGCTGTTTAACTGCTATCCCACCGGGAGAAACACCTACCTCAAAGTCTTCATCGGTCAGGTAAATTTCAAGCTTTAGCGGATCGACTCCCTCGGGTAGTGGCCTGGCTAGGAGATCGGCCAGGGGATAAATAGTCTTACACAGCTTGGCTAAGACGTCTTCCACAAGGGTGATCTGGTTAGAAACTTCTGTATCCTGGAGAGGAGGAGGGAGCAGAGAGAACGTCATATCTCACACGTGAGTATGTCTTATCAAGTGTTCGGGAATACGTGCTGTGTGAGCTGCCGCTGAGATGGCCCCAACCCACGGCGGCCCTATGCACAGTGGGACGAAATGCTACATGCACCGTCCTCATCATTGGCTGGGGACTGTTGTGACCCACAGGGTTTTCATCGGCTGATTTCCAGAAGCAGATCACCAAGCCTTTCTTCCTGGTCCGTCTTAGTCTGGAAGCTCTGCTGAAACCCGTTCAGCATCACAGCAACACTCACTGGGTGGTGGCCGCGCAGGAGCTGCACTGGCCAGGAACTGAACCCAAGTCTCCCGCACGGAAGGTGAGAATTCTACCACTAAGCTACAGATGTAAATACGTAACTGCATCCAATCCACAACCGAGCCTAGAGGGGCAGTGACTAAGATCTTCATTTCTCTAAGAAAGAAACGAAGGCTCTGAAATTTAAATGAGTTGTCCAAAGCCCTGCAGGTCTCCCACTTTCTGTTTTCCTCTGCCACCGCCAAGATTAAAGTAACTCCTGTTCCCAGGGGTGCCTCAGAAAAAAAGTTCAGAGACCATCACATGTGTTAATTATAACATAAGAATATTTAATATGAAGTTAAATGCCAAAATATCCAAATAATGGAATTTGTTCTAAAGCTTGTGAGAAATCCTGTGGCGGTCAGTGGTGGAATTTTTGTTCTCCATGCGGGAGACTCAGGATCGGCTTCCAGCTAGTGCATCTCATGGGCGGCCACCACCCGTCTGTCAATGGGGGCTTGCGTGTTGCTATGATGCTGAACAGGTTTCAGCAGAGCTTCCAGACTAAGAGGGACTAGGAAGAAAGTGTTGGTGATTTGGAAGAAAGTCTTGATGAAAACCCTACGGATCACAATGGCCTGACCTGTAAGCAGTCATGGAGACGGTTCAGGAGCGGGTAACGCTTTGTTCTATCGTGCATGGGATCGCCGTGATGGAGGCCGACTTGATGATAGTTAGCAGCATGACAGTATTCTGGGGCTGAGTGAAGATTTTTTTTTAAACCTCTGGGTGCATTTAATCTGGAATAGGTAATTCTGGGTAAAGTATCTTCCCGCGTTAAATTTGGGACCCCAGACTAGCTGACCTTTGGGTGGGTGGGTGGGTTGTTACCAAGTTCAACCACATATGGTACAAACTGGAGGTACAGAGGCTGGGCTGTGGAGAGCCTGCCTGCGTCTGAGTCCTGGCTCTTCCATTCTGAGACTCTGGCAAGGCGTTCCGTGCTTCTGTGCCTAAGTGCCTTCACTGAGGATACTGAGAAGACAAATCTTAAAGGACTGTGTAAAATTATATGAGAAAATAAACGTAAATTAAAGCGCCTGAAGCAGTGCCTGGCGCAGAGCGGGCACTCAGTGACTGTCGTTATGGTGGTGATTGACTGGAGTGGAAGCCAGGCCGTCCTCCGGCTGAAAGCCCTCACGGCCCGCACCAGACAGTACAGAGCCTCCTCCAGAGAAAACCCAAACCCTTTGCCGTCGAGTCGATTCCGACTCATAGTGTCCCTACAGGACAGGGCAGAACTGTCCCACGGGGTTTCCAAAGCTATCATCTTTACGGAAGCGGACTGCCACGTCTTCCTCCCGTGCAGCAGCTGATGGGTCCCAACTGCTGACCTTTTGGTTGGCAGCCAAGCACCACCAGGGCCCCTTACAGACTTCAAATTATCTACAGGGGATACAGAAAAATGCAAACGAGGCAGTGACAACGTTTGTAACTCCTACAACGTGTAGGTTTTGTTGATCACATATTTATCGTGAACAAAACCACGTTGCCGTGACGGTGTCAGAGATCAGGCCTGCAGCCGGCCGCTCCCCATGTGGTCACGTCCACTTGGCTACAGAGCAACACGCTAGGATGAGCAGCACTGTCTGCACGGTTCAACAGGCTCTGCTTATTGTTACGAAGCCTTGAACTTTCTTTTTCATAAATTGAAAATTATTAAAGACCTCCCTTAAGATACACTTATCACATTTTCCTCACAAACAAAATCCAAACCAAATAAACCTATCCCCCACCAAAACAACAACAAAAACCTCGGCGTGGCTACTGTTAGCAATGTTAACTCAAAAATGAAGAAATCCTACATGGCTAAAGTAAGCTTCCTCTTTCTGTATAGCTGGGAAGTAGGATATTCTGGTTAATCACAGACTTTGGTAAATTAAGATGACGATAAGTGCCTCGTGTGGTAACACCAGGTGGTCTCATAAAAGACAAGATTAATAAAATACCGAGCAATGCGTTATCACGAGTGATTCACAATACGTTCCCTCATTTCATTATTAGGACGCATTAATTCATCACAGGTTACTCTGCCTCCTCTACATAAGGTGAATGTTGGAAAGGTGACGATTTTCTTGTGCCTTACACGGGCCTTGAGAAACAAGTCATGTCAAGGAACAGGTTTTCAGTTAACAGAACATAGAGATTCTAGCGTCTATTTATGCATCTTCTTCAGAGTCATTAAACGCACCTTTGCTTTTACATTTTTCAATTTGAGCACCTTATATAGAAAATTACCCAGAGTGTTCACCTGATTTCCTCTTAGGCTCTTCCTCTTCCTAAGCTAATTCTAGGCAGACTTGCTTGTTAACATGTTGTAAAAGAAAAAAAAAAAAAAGCAATTGGATTGCCAAGCCTCTACCACACGGGCCTGGGAGGGCAGGAAAGATACTCACCATTTCTGTGATTTCAGCAATGTCCTCTCTGTGCTCCCAGCTGGGAAACATATTAGTAAACGTCAGGGGTTCCAGACCAGCGTGGATAAGGTAGGACTTGGGGGGTGGCTTCTTGATGTTTTTTCCTGTATGGTCACAAAATACAAAGGTGAGTAGAGCCAGGGTGGGCCCAAACACCTTGTCTTTCTCTGATTTCCCTTTAAATCTTTTTGTCATTGTTTGGAGGAACTCTTGAATAGACACATAAAGTTATGCATGAGTAGTTTACAACAAAACATGGGTGATTTTTATATAAAATATTAATTTCATACAAAGTACAATAAAAAACCCGTTCCCATCAAGTCAATTTTAACTCATAGCTACTCCATATGCATGAACCATGCTCCATGCCGTTGCTGTGTGCTGTTGAGTCGATTCCAACTCATAGCCACCCTCTAGGACAGAGTACAACTGTCCCATGGGGTTTCCGAGGCTGCAAGCTTAGTGGCTGGTGGGTTTCAACTGCCGACTTGTTGGTTAGCAGCCAAGTGCTTAACCATTACACAACCACAATTTTCAATGGCTGATTTTTCAGAAGTGAATCATCAGGCCCTTCTTTCAAGGTGACGCTGGGTGAACTCAAACCTCCAATCTTTTGGTTAGCAGCCAAGCACGCTGACCAGGGACAGGGACACTTGATCAACCTCACTTTATACTGTCTGCACCTAACAAAATGCTTCTAGAAACGTGGAGGGGAGAGCCTCTTGGTGTGGCTTTTGGGGGCGATGTTTTCTTCCTCTTGCATCCCCCTGTGGAAGCATTCCTCTGATTTCCTAACTGGAGGGATAAGTTCAATACAAATTAGCGGAGGGACAGCATTTTCTAAGTCCACTTTACCATAAACATTTGGTGGAAAGTTTAATGAAAGTTATTTATTACTAAAGAGCTTTTCAAGAAGAGAATCTATGGTACATATTCAGTGATGTTAAATTCATCAACAAAGCCTTACTAAACTCCAGATAAGAAATTCATGACTGGCAGCTTCATTTTATCAAAAAGACGACATACTTCGGGTGGACGGTATAGTACAAAGCTGGGAATTTATTATGGATCTTCCCTTTTAGAGGGAATGCTAAAAATACTAAATAATAAAAAGGTTTACACTGGCGTTTCATCCAGCTTTGGGGTGTGTGTATTCCTCCGACGGTGTGCCCTGCATGGAGGTAACACGCCGTTGCGGAGGACTACCTGTCTCCCAGCACGATTAATCCTGGGTGCGAAAGGGTTTTAATCAGTTCAGGGCTCGCCACGACACAGCCTTTAACCTTGAGGCAAACAAGTGAGGTGGCCTCTCACAATATACAACAGAAAAACTAATTCTCATTCGTGCTGGCAGCCAAGAATCCACTAATCTCAACATTAACAAGCCTCAGAAAGTTAAAGGGAAAAACTTTGTTTCCTCGCTGTCTGCCAGTATTATTAACACTGGCTGACGCTCTCAGGAAGGGAAGAGGCCGCGGAAAGGAATGGTCTGGGACTCGGACCAAGTCTGCGGGAAACCATCTTGGAGCGTTAGCCTCTGGGTGGGGGCCTGGCAGCACAGTACGCCTGGGGTTGGCCTGGCGGGGGCCTGGCTCGTCTGCTGGCCCCCCCAGCCCACTTCCTGCTGCCGTGTCCACGGGGGCCCTGGGGCCTGGCTCTCCACTCACCCCTAGCCCATTTCCGGTCTACATGGGATCCTAGCTTGCGCGTTGCTGCAACCACACGGGGTTCTGGCTCGCCAGCTTGCCCCCAGCCCACTTCCAGTCCTACTCGGTATCTTAGCAGGCCCGTAGGCCACTTCAGTCCTACTCGCCCCCTTGCTCCAGCCCACTTCCGGTCCATGTCCTGGGTCGGCAGCTCCACCCTCACAGAGGGGCCTCACCTTTGCAGTACTGGAGCACTGTCTCCATGGCGCTCTTCCGGTCTGAGGCCCAGCGAATGCGGGCGGAACCGGTGATCTTGTTCTCAATGGGCCACCAGCCTTGCCAGAGGTACACCTCATGGTGATTGTCCACCAGGAACAGTGCTGAGAGGGTAAGGGCACAACCAGACGGTCAGCAGCTCCTTCGTGGCCCTTGCAGGCCCTTCCGCCCTCCCTTCCTTCTGACAAAGGCAGAAGTTAAATTCAAGGGCAAAGGGGCAAACTGAAGTCCCCCGTGATGCCTCAACCCTTTGCAAGTTAAACCAGGAAGAGCCTGTAGGTAGAGAAAGGCTTTACTTTTATTACTAAAGAGCTTTTCAGGAAGAGAATCTATTGTGCCATGCTCAGTGACATTAAAATAATCAAGGAAACCTTAAAAATTCCGATAAGAAATCAACGACGTGCATCTTCACTGTATTTAAAAGAATACAAATTTCAGGTGCGTGATATAGTAAAAAGCTGTGAATTTACTGTGTGTTATAGATTGAATTGTATCCCCTCTAAAATTATGACGAAGTCTTAACCCTTGTACCTGTAAATATGTATTTTCTGTTTGGAAATAGGGATTTTCTTTTGTTATGTTAATGAGGACATGGGAGAGTAGGGAGGGTCCTAACCCTAATCCCTTTTGAGCGGTATCTTATAAAAAGAGCAGAAGAGACAGATGCTCACAGAGGGAAGAGACCCTGGCAGGAACCATCCACAAGCCAAGAGATGCCAGGGAACCCCTGGGGCCACCGGCAGGGAAGGACCCTTCTCTAGAGCCAAGGCCCGATTTGGACTCGTAGCTCCAAGACCGTGAGACAATAAATTCCTGTTGGTTAAAGCCACCCACTCATGGCGTTAGGTTATGGCAGGCCTACCCAACTGAGACACTGTGGCGCTTCCTCTTTAGGGATAATACCAGACACAGTGAACCAGTAATACAAAGATTTGCTTCGGCTTTTTGACCAGTTTTAGGGAGACTTCGATGTCTCTGACGGTGGGGCAGCAATGATATGGGCATCTTTCTTCCGTCTCCACACCTCCCCTGCAGTTTCTTTTCCTCTTGCCCCAGCTCACCTATAGGCCAGCCACCCCCCTTCTGGAGACGGCTAGGGCTGTGATCTGAGTGGAACGAGCGGACATGTGTGCTTGTTAACACGGTTTACCCCCCGAGACCATATTGAAAACGGAGAGCGCACCCTGCTGGTCCTCCAGGTCACGCGTGTTCTCGCCCCTGGTTACGACTGCTGAGCAAATGATTCAAATCCCTGATTCTTTCTGGAGAGAAATGGGCTTTAAGCATCAAAATTGTTCTGCCTCTTCAGCTTCACTTTTTCTCCTCAAACTGTCAGCCTGACTCTTTTTCCATGAGTCCTTTCTTAGCATATCTTTCAAGATTCTGTGAAAACCACATACTCTCAGAGTCCAATGGCAGTTAATAATCCATGCTGAGCCACTGGCTGATGAGGGTGGTGGCCTTCTCTCTTTTTAAGGCACTTGCTCATGTTGCCCACAGTATGAGCTCTACCCCAGGCAAGCTTTGAAGGCGGGGACCTGGGCTGTTGGCGTAAGGGAAGGTTTCTGGCTACAGCTCCCGGCTCTTGCAATGTAAGAGGGTACAGACCAGGAGGGCAGGGACAGCTGATCTCACTCTTGACTGAAGTGGGGTGGGAAGGTCTTCTGTGACTATCCAGAGCAGGATGAGAGCACGGAGATGTCTGTCTTGAGGCAGTGGTCTAGTAGAACCAGTTCTGATTTTGCAATCAGGAGACACGGGCTAGAGTCTTGGCCCAGCTGTATTGCCTTGGTACGGCAAACATTGTTCTTTGGCTAACTCAGCAGATATTCTCAACTCCCTTCCCCTTTGCCTCTTCCTTTAGAGGTTGGAATAGCTAACTACTTGCTTTCCCAGGCTCCTTTGCAGCCGGGGTGGCCATGTGACAGAGCTCCAGCCAATGGGGTATAAGCAGACATTGGCTGGAGGCTTCTAGGAAAGACTTCTATCTGATAAAAGGGACACCATGGCTATCACATGCTGTTCCCCCTCCCCCTTCTTTCTGTCTTGAACATAAACATGATGGCTGGAGCGGCGGCAGTCACCTGGGACCATGAAGTAACAAGACTGAGGGAAAGGTTGGGAGAATAAGAGATGCCAGGCCTGACACTGTTGCGCTCGACCTCTTCTTACTTAACTGACAAATCTGGGCAAGGTAAGTAACTGAGCCTCAGTTTCTTTTACTGTAATACGTGGATGATATCACTCTCCTTCTGGCGGAGGTGTACGGATTACATGAGATGATAATAAGAAAGTGGTTTGGCAGAGTACTTGACAAACAGAAATTGCTTAGTAAGTGCTAAAGGAAGATGAAAAGGCTCCTTGGAAGGTGTACCATCTGCCGTTCAGCACAGGGTATCCCCCCGCAGACCTCACCTGGCTGTGGGGCACTGTACAGATCTTCCTGCAGGAAGGGCACAGAATTGACCACAGAGGGGTCTCGGGCGGGATACACGAACTCTATGGCTGAGAAATCGCCGGAAGAGCTGCTGAGGATGAACAGGCGGGGCGTGAAGTTAAAATTTCCAGGATCTTTGAAAGAAAAGAGAACAAAGTGAAAGACAAAATCTGCATCAAAGTAAACTCCAGCTGGATTGAAGAACTAATGTAAAACATGAAACAGACGAAGAATTCGTAGAAAAATCAGTAAGAGTTATCTGAGCTTGGAGGTGGAGAAGTCCTCTTTAATCATAGTAGTAACATAAATCATCAAATGGAAAGAGACTTATTCATTGACTACATAAAAATTAAGTAAATTAATACATATGAGATACTTTACAGTGCCTGGCTCATTGTAACTCTTCATAACAGGTATTAGCTTTTCTACTTATGTCAATCTGGATTTTAAGACAGGAAAGCCCATATTTACACACCCAAGTTCACTCTAGTGAACTAGAGTGTCTACTCTGTTGATCAGTGGTCACTGTCTTTCCAAATCAGGCTGACGACTTTGAAAGGCGCTGGCAGTGGGATAAACGCTCGGCTTCCCTCCCCTGCTTCCTATCCCAGTACCCCAGGATGGTGACTTCTCCTGCGGCTGCTGTTAGGACAGAAATACAATTGAGGTCTCAAGCCAAGCCCAAGACCTCGGCAGGCAGTGTCCTCCCCTAAGCTTTGTGAAGCAGCCCTGGAGGTACAACAGTTAAGTGCTCGGCTGCTGCTAAAGGCCGGCAGTTCAAACCCACCCAGAGGCTCTGCAGAAGACAGACCTGGAGAGCTGCTTCTGTAAAGACTACAGCCAGGAAAACCCTCTGGGGCAGTTCTGCTCTCTCCCAAGGGGTCGATATGAGTTGGAATCGACGCAGTGGCACCCAGCAACAACAACAAGGCTTCGTGAGTGCATCCACCAATGGGAAACCTGTCGTCTTGGTGCCCACGTTAAACTAGCCCCTTGGGAGAGAAAACTGGACAAAATACTCATCAAACTTAAGTTCCAGATAAACTGAAGAATTAATACACAGTATGAAATAAATAATCTGAAGATAAATAGTATTTACTTATCTTGGGAATGGGGAAGGCCTTGACTGATTTATAATACTAGCAACCGAAAAAAATAAAAAAATAGAGCAGGGCTTGGGAGGGCAGCCAGTGCTGTTCCCCACGAGCACATGTTCCCTCCAGGGACTGCTCTGTTCTCCGTCCACCCAGGTCCCATCGCCATTTCCCACCTCCAGCTGACCATGGAGACTGTCATGGGGCCTGTTCACAACCCTCAGTGTCATGTTGGGCATGTAGAAGACATTCAATCAAGAACCAAGGCCCCCTCCCCAAGGCTAACTTTCCCTCGTGCCCTCGATCCGTCCGCCTCACGGACATCTTCCTCGAATCATTCTATCTCTACAGTTCAAGCCCTCTTTTCAACTGGAGCTTTCTGACCCATCCAAAAACAGGACAAACATGGGGAACGTAAGAACATACGGTGCCTACAAGTCTCCCTCCTCACCCGAAGCCCCTCCAGTGACTCTATTTTCCTTCCTCAAATGAGTCGGTGACGTTCTAACTTGACACTCATTCTTGTGTCACGTACGTACTGCCCAACGCGCTCAATAACTACTTGGTGGATAAATTAGCGAGAGGGTTTACAAACACATGATTGAAGGACGTGGGGTGTCGGGTTACCTTGTAGCATACAGTCGTAGGCTTTTCTGTCTCTCCTTCCTAAAGCGTCCCAGAACCCCAGGGGCTCCGATCCTTCCTCACACTCGTGGATCGTCACTTTGCTGCTACTATGCAGTCCTGCTTCCAGGGGGCACCTGCAGAGGAGATAACTCCTGCTGTTTTTCATAAGCCCGGCAAGTATCATAGCACGGAATTCTTCAGGACTCCACCTACACATCAGTTCGCCATCGCTCTTCTGCTTTCTAACAAAAAGCACTTCTTACTAATGGAGGGAAAACGTGCTCTGCAGACTATGAGTGTGTGGGGTAGAGAGGGTGGTAGCTGGATTTGCTTTGAGGGAGGAATGTACGATTATGTATAATACGTAACGAAGATAATACATATTTCATGTACACCGATCATATCGAGTGCTTCTGGTCCCTTCCTGCTAGGATGTAAGCTCCAAAGGACAGAGACTCGGGCTTGGTCATGGATCATCTCTAGTGCCCAATGTACTTGGCACAAAGTTGGTGCTCAATAAACATTTGTTGACTGAGTGAGTGAATGACTAAGTGAATGATTTCCTGCTGATTTGTTTCTCCTCAGTGCTCCATGTGAAAAATCCCTGGCGCCTCTGGAGGCCTGGCTGAACCTCATGTATCATCCTTCCCCAGTGACAAGTTGTCGCCCCCACTCTCCACCCCAAAGAATGTCTGAAGATGGAGCGTCTGGCTTCAAATCCGCCCGCCTGGTGGGAGACCAGCTGTCTCCCTTCTCCCTTCAGTCCTGCCCGTGCAGTGGGGGGCTCACAGCCGTCAGAGGGCAGTGTGCCCAGACACTCCTGGAGATCAGCTTTTACCAAACTGCACGTCGCTGGTGCGCTGTGCTTCTAGGAAACTCTCCATTTTTACTGTGAGGATGTCCCCAGGGTCCTTCCAGGTCTCCGTAGGAGAATATGCTGAGCATCTCCTCAACAACTGGTTGACACTGGGCTCTCTCCCGAATGGCTCATGTTTCCCATTCCGCACGAAGGTGGAGAGCCACATTTGCAGCTCATGTCTACGGAGGTGGCGAGGACACTCAGTGTCCCTCTGGAGTGCTCTGCTTGCCCTGGGCTTTGTCTTACTTCTCTAGTGTCAGTTTTACTTCTTCCCCGAGTGCCTTACTTCACGCCACATCACTCTGACCTTTTATCTTTAGAGGCAGTCAACTGTGGGTGCCTGTGGGTGCCTGCCGGGGAGAGGAGCCGCTGGGCTAAAGTCCCCAAGAGCTGACATGCTGCGTGGGAGAGCTGCCCAGAGACAGCAGTAACTCACTGCCAGGTGGCCACCTTCCCAACAGAGAGATGCAGTTGGTCTCTGAAAAGGGGACGTTTTATGGTTTGACCCAGTTGGTGGCTTCATACACCCTTCCTTAAGGAAATGCTTCTTCACATTGCACTGTTCTGACGAAGCTATAAGTCTGCATCCCTAACAGATACGTGCAGTTTGCTCTCTTTAAACATTAAAGGACCCCAGGCTTATCATTCAAAAGCGGAATCATGCTTATAAAGAAAGAAAATAAAGTACTGGTTGGAGTCATTTCCCTTGCCCTCCATGCACCTCTTCTGTTTTCTCTGTGAGCAGGTAAATCCTCAAAAAGTGGGGGAAACCCTCCAGTTTGGAGGCTTTGGCTGATACGACTGTTACATCTCCTAGGAGTGTCAGAGGGCTCTGACAGTGTTTGCTGAAGTCACGTGAAGCACCCTGGGGACTTCCACTGGAAACCTGGAAATCCCTTCAGCCTTAACCTACTTGTGTTTTGCAAAGCAAGATGTTTAATCTGCAGACATCATTGTTTGGGGTGGACAGTGGAGGAGATAACCGCTCACACGGGAGGGATGATAGATGAAGCTCGATTCTTCCTGGGATTGTTCACTGTGTGACCCATGGGGAGGCCCCGTGGCTGGAGAGCTTACTACAGATATATAATACTCACTGTTCCTTGATTTTATTTGCCGCGGTTCTTCCAACCTCCTTTGTGTGGGCTTGTGCTTTGCACCCGTGCCACAGGTAAATGAGGGCTTTATTTACGTTGAGAACAACCATGGACGTTCTGGACCTCAGGCTACTACAGTGACAAGCGACTTCCAGCAAATTTCCTTCAATGGGGACTTCTCCGCGCACACAGTACAGCCTCCACTCACCTGCAGGGGGCACCAGTGGTACAGAGTTAGGATGTCCGTTTCTGGACAGGAAAGGCTGCCCCTCTGGATCCTTGCCACCCACCACCAACAAACACTGCACTCCATGACGCACAGGGACTGGCAGAAGGGAACACAGAGCCTGAGGTACAGAGGCTGTGCCTCACCAGGTCACGGTGAGCATCTACGGTGGCCAGCCTAATGGCCGTTCCAGAAGGCAGATCCTTTCGGAGTTAGGAGCAGGTTGCCAAAAGTTGGCCGTGCAGAAAAACGATTTTTACAAAATCTATAAAATACCTTGTTAAATGATATAACAGGCATTTTTTTTAAAAAAGGCTTTAAAGCTAACATATTTTTTAGTTGGATGCTGGCCTACAACAATCCTATGATTTATAATAGAAGATCCACTGATTTTTTTTTCCTAAGAACAGACAGAGCCACTGTGAAGAATCCATTAATCATGAAGTAATCTTCCAGCCTCATTCGTGCAAAATTAGATCCTGCAGTAAACTCCAGGGGGTTATGTGCTCCTTATAAAGCTGATTTACAAGGCAAACATTAGGTGGCTTTCAGCGGTAAAGTCACAGCTATGTGAAGAGAGACCTATATTAAACCTCTTGCCTATAAAAATACCTTCCAGGAGAGGAAAACAAAAATCTAATGCCAACAGTAAAAGTGATGTACTTTGCACATTTTCTTCTTCTTCTTCCCGTCTCCCGGAGTGCACCACCATCCCTCCCTGGAAACACTGCAGAAAACAGGGGGGCTCCTTGCCCTGGAGAACCTGGATCTGGAAGTTTAAACACAGTGAAACACTAACATGGCGCTTAAAACATCATCAAAATAATACACACCTATTACAGAAAATTTGAAAGCTATCAAGAAGTACAAACGCCTGTGGTATTCTGCAAAGACAACCACAGAGACACTCCAGCCTTCCTTTCAAAGTATGTCTCAGGTCTATGTTTTTTCTAAACAAAAAAATAAGATCATAGTTTTATGTTGCTTTATACCCTGGTTTTTTTCACTTATGTTTTCCTATGTCACGGAATATTCTTTTAAAGCACTGATTTTGATAATTTAATGGTATTCCATGGTACGGATGTACCATGATTGATTTAAACACATTTTTAACAAAGTAGATCTCTCAGCAATGCCAATGACTATTCACTGACTTGGCAATTATGGGGAAAAAATTATGTATTTTTTTGGAATCATTCCAATAGTCTACTTATAGAATGATGTGCCTTTCAAACACAGGCTGTCCCTTGCCTGTTAAAGCACTCTCTTGGATCAGGCATTAGCTGTACCGTAAATAACGTTAGGGTTGGCTCAGCTCACTCTCACTTTGGAAGATGATGTTTATTGAGTCTGGCAGTCTGGGAGCACTAAATGGTAGGAAACGTTTCTTACCGTGAGTTAACTTATCAATCTCAGGTCCCATCTGGCATAATCAAGTGCCATTTTGTGTCAGCGTTTTATATGTCTAAAATGATTTTCCATCTGTTGGACTGAGAAAAAATTAAGTGCTCAAACTAGAGCAATCAAAAGGCTCCCGACTCAAAGGATGACACTGAAGGCATGATGAACCACATTCATTCAGCTACTCCAAAGAGGTAGCATGGCCTTTTCCAGAAGAAAAGAAATAAAGAAAAGGGCAGTTGAAATCACCCACAATTAGAAATAAATGAAAATGTAACTGTTGCTAACAACAGTTAAAAATATAGTCAGTGGTAGAAAATATGCATTTAAATAAGGTAGACCTGGTCGGGTTCCATTCCGATGACTCTGTCATAAGTGAGCTCTGACATAAGTGGAATACCTCTTTTTTTTTTTAGTTTTCACAGCCTGCTACACAGCCGTGTTTTGAACAGTAAATCATAACATTGAACATCTGCCAGTGAACATCTGAGAACAACATCAGCAAAGTATGTGCTGCAACACTGATATGACTAATGATAAGATGTACACACACACACACAGATGGTCGTGAAACGTGGTTTGTCGTAACTCAAATACATCGTAAGTCGAGGACTACCTGCATGTTTTAGGGAAAGATGATTGGGTCTTGGGACTCAGGAACGCTTTACGAGTGTTCATATATTTCTGGAGAAAATTCCTCTGCTTTCTTCCCTCACTGCTATTGTTAACCATTCATCCGTGATAGTAAAAATATTTGCATGGGGCGTCATGTTTTCCAAAAACCCCAGAGTCAATTGTTAATTACTGGTATTAGAGGATGGGACCACAGGCACAGATAATCCAAACATGACAAAGAAATGTTTACAAAACATTGGGTTTGGTCAGCAATGCCTGCCAGGCATTTTGCAGGCACTGCGATTATAATGGTAGATGAGACCAAGAGAGTGTCCCTTTCATGCTTGTGGGGGAAGATGGATAATCCGTAAGTCAGTGAAATAATTATGTAGCTTTAGATAGTTGTAAGTTAAAGGAAACAAAAATGAAGCAGGGTAAAGTGGCAGAGAATGATGGGGGATGTGGAGGGATTTGGATAAAAGAGAGAGGTGGCATTAAACAGAAACCTCCGTCGTACGAAGCTGAGAGTAACTCATGGACCCAGACTGGGAAAACAAAGTGCGAAGGCCCTGTGGTGGGAGGGAAGAAGTGTGTCTGAGGAACAGCAAGAGGCTGGCATGGCTGGAGTGGCACGGTAGGGGACTGGAGAGGTGTGCAGGGCTGCTTACGAGGGTGCTGGCAGAACAATGGGAGACTGCTTAGATTGTATCCAAGTGTGACGAAGAGCAAAGGAGCAACCTGATCTATGTTCTAGAAAAATCATCTGGGCTGCTGTGAGGAATACAGAAAATAAAATACTCCCTTTTTACATTAATCTCTGATATTTCCTTAGAAGTGACTTGTGTAAGTGGGAAACTGATCAAAGTTCATAAGAATTTAAGGTTCTTGAGCCAAAACTGCTTTTCAGAATGTCTGTACCAAGTCACACTTCCCAGATGACAGATGCATACAAGGGTACCCATCTGTCATGGATTCAATTGTGTCCCCCCAAAATATCTGTCAACTTGGCTAGGTCATGATTCCCAGTATTGTATGACTGTCTACCATTTTATCATCTGATGTGATTTCCCTATGTGTTGTAAATGCTATCACTATAATGTAATAAGATGGATTAGCGGCAGTTATATTGATGAGGTCTATAAGATTAGATAGTGTCTTAAGACAACTACTTTTGAGATATAAAAGAGAGAAGCTAGCAGAGACAAATGGGAACCTCATACCACCAAGCAAGCAGTGCTGGGAGGAGAGCGCATCCTTTGGACCTGAGGTTCCTGTGCTGAGATGCTCCCAGACCAAGGGAAGACTGATGCATCACAAGGACCTTCCTCGAGAGCTGAGAGAGAGAGAAAGCCTTTCCCTGGAGCTAATGCCTTGAAATGGGACTTGTAGCCAATTTCTGTTATAGCAGCACTAGATGACTAAGATACCATCCTACCATCTGCTTCTACCATCAGATCTATTTCAACAACTTCTACCAGTCTTAGAAACGGAAAATTGCATCTCTTTGTTTCATTGAAAAATTTTCAACTATTAGTTAGGTGGGAACTTTTTAAAACACTCATCATCATTCGTTCCTGCTTTGTGCATTTCCTATTTACAGATACAACACTGGGTTTAAAATCATACAGCAACCGGTGGGCCTTCCTGGCTGAGCGGCAGGGAGAGGGCATGAGGCACAGCGAAGCCAGAGGAGGATGCAAAGTGCTTTGGATGAGGCTGTCCTTGTACATTACAATCAGGTTGTCAGGGACCAGGCCAGCATCCCCAGGCCTCCTGGACAGGACAAGGGGGAAGTTATCACTTCTCCTTCACCCGGTGAAGCAGCTCTCCTTTGGGGCTCACCTGGGCACCCCTTTCTTCGTCCAGCTCCACAGTCATCAGTGCTGACGTCCCCTTCTCGCTCACCGTTGAGTGCCGGCCTTGCCAAAAGAAGTAGACACACTTCTCTTTGCCGGCCACTCTCATGGGATGTTCCCCCTTCTGCCGACTTCCCACTGCAAACAGACAGAACGGCAGAGCATGAGGCAAGCAACTGACATGCCAGAGGAAGAGCCAATCAATGGCTTCTACCTCCCGGGTCTGAGAGGACCAGCGCTAAAGAGAGCACTTGGGGCATGGGTCAGAGGACCAGCGGTAACCAGGGCCCCTGGGGTGTGGGTCAGAGGACCGGTGGTAGAGAGAGTCGGAGGACCAGTGGTAACGAGGGTGCCTGGGGCTTGAGTGGAGGAGAGATCATCCACATCCAGAGGGAAAGTAAATTCTCCCACAGGAGGGGAAAAACCACCTTTCTTCCTGCTAACGGACCCAGAGCCTCCAAGCTGGAGAAAAATGATCTGAAAGGCCCTCTTTTGTTTTTAAATCTCTAAGCTAGTATTTTTTTTTAATTGTACTCTAGATGAAGGTTTACAAACAAGTTTCTCATTAAACAATTAATACACAAACTGTTTTGTGACATTGGTTGCCAACCCCATGACATGTCAGCACTCTCCCCTTCTCACCCTTAGGTTCCCTCTTACCAACTTTCCTGTCCCCTCCGTCCTTGCCCCTGGCCTGCTGTGCCCCTTTAGTCTCATTTGGTTTTATGTGCCTGTCTAATCTTTGGCTGAAGGGTGAACCTCGGGAGTGACTTCATTACTAAGTGACTTCATTACTGAGCTACAAAGGTGTCCGGGGGGCCATAGTCTCAGGGTTTCTCCAGTCTCTGTCAGGCCAGTAAGTCTGGTCTTTTTTTGTGAGTTAGAATTTTGTTCTGTATTTTTCTCCAGCTCTGACTGGGACCCTCTATTGTGATCCTCGTCAGAACAGTCGGTGGTGGTAGCCGGGCACCATCTACTAATCTTTCCCTTGTGTCTTTGGTTTTCTTCTTTCTCCCTTGCTCCAGATGGGGTGAGACCAGTAGAGTATCTTAGGTGGCTGCTCACAGGCTTTTAAGACCCCAGATGCTACTCACCAAGGTAGAATGTAGAACATTTTCTTTATAAACTGTTATGCCAATTGAGCTAGATGTTCCCCAAGACCATGGTCCCCAGAGCCCTCAGCCCAGTAATCCGGTTCCTTAGGGAGTGTGGATGTGTCTGTGGAGCTTCCATGACCTTGTGAAAGGCCCTCTTGATACACTAAGAAAGCCACCTGTCATCCTTGGAGGAAGGCTGTGGACCATTCCAAGTGTGTGACAGAGGAAAATGGTGACGAGAGCAGGACCAAGGCCTCACAGAGACACACACTCATTTTCCACATTATGTCCCTCTTTGGCAGAAGATGAGCTGGCAGTGAAGAGATATGGACAACAATAGCTGGATCGGCATCAAGCACAAAGGAAAACATTTAGACTGTTAAAGCAATTCTAGCGAAAAAAGAAAACTGAGAAGTTTCCAAGTTCTGTCAGAAATGGAACAGATAAATTGCTGACATAACACTTTCACAAAATAATCTGGGGTTTAAATAATATCTGTCACCAGGGTTGTAGCCTGGATTAAGTGCTTATTATCCTTACTGTCTGGCACCTCACAGGCACTCAAAAAACATTAGCCAAGTCCATAAAGTAGATTTAACTGCTGGCTCTGAAAAGCAGTCATGGAAAGTTAATGGGTCAAATGGTCATTTTAGACAGCACTTCAGACCTTAAAATCTCTGACTTTAGGAAAATATTTAACTATGTATTTCCCTCACTCATTTGTTCAACAGATATTTACTGAGCACCTATGTGGTGGAGGCTGTAGGATCCTGGGGCTACAAAGAACAAGACAGATGAGGTTCCTGCTTCAGTTCTAACCAGGGGACACAAACAATAAACACAATTTTAGGTAGTGGTAACGCCAGGGGATGTGGCACGGGGTGGGCTGTGGTGCCAACAGCTCAAAAGGGGGTGACTTTCGAACGGAGGCCTGAATGACAATAACCTGGAGGCAGAACCTTCCAGGCAGACGGTCAGGAGACCAGATTCTTGACTGAAATGCCCAGGTGGTCCTAGTAAGTGAGGGTCAGCAAAGGAAGAAGGCAGGTGGGTGTAACACCCACACACATTAAAAACCCAGTACACCAACTTTGGATTCTCTGGTTCCATATTAGCTCAGTTTTTCTCAGCCCAATCCGATTTGCAAAATAACAACTATATGGAGGTTTGAAGGTAAGAAGAAGAAGAAGAAAAACTCATTTCAGTTCCTAAGAAGTCAGAGGTGTTGACTTTGGAAACCCTGGTGGCATAGTGGTTAAGTGCTATGGCTGCTAACCAAAAGGCCGGCAATTCGAATCCACCAGGCGCTCCCTGGAAACTCTACGGGGCAGTTCTACTCTGTCCAATAGGGTTGCTGTGAGTCGGAATCAACTCGATGGCAACAAGTTTGGTTTTCCTTGTTCTTAAGAAGTCAGAGGCCATATTTATTTATTTATTGGTCCTCTGTTTAGCAAGGTAGTGTATAAAACAGTGTTCATAAATGATGACAATAATTTCTTAAAGTACTTGAAGTACTTTAAGTGACATGTACTGTGGGTCTGGTCTGAATAGGTTTGTGTGTCTTTAAGTGGGCAAAATGAAATCGGAACCAGCAATGAATAGATTATAAATACCCCCAATTCATGTGGAAGCTGTTCAATTGAAATTTCTACTAATTTAGACAGAAACAAAAGTTTGTCTTTGATTAGCAATCCTATTCTTCAAAGCAGTGAAAATTAGTAGGATCATTTAGATTAGTGGGGAAGGATATCCTTAAAATAGATCAGGGCAGTTTATATATACCTTAAAACTTGTTAGCACTCAAATACATCATGTAACTATACATTCCTGCATAAATAACCAATCTTTACATCCTGAAATAGACTTGAGCGTATATACCGAAAATAGAGTTGCATTTCTTTAAAAATATTTTCTAAGACAGGATTTTCACTAATTTTCCTTAACATGCCAAATTGAATCTTCTACACAACTTTATTTTTAATTCATTGATTTGTTTTTAATTTTAGCCAAGTTAGGATCAAGTTTTTATTAGCAGGAATGTTTGACGATAATCTCGCAAGCCTCGATCGGTCAGATGCCTGATTCAATGTGTGGGTGCATCATGCCACTGAAATACTTTCAAGAGTATAAGTTTGCTACCAGTAGTTCTCAGTTTAGGAACGACAGAAAACTAAGGCATGAAGAGCTGCTCATAGTCAAGCGATCTTGCACCAAAACTTAATGTACTGACCACGTACCTGTACGAGCTATGCCCAGATCACCCTTTCCCAAGGCCTGCCCCAGCGTCATACCGTACTATGATAAGCCGTCTTCCAGCCGCCCAGGACCACGATGATGGGTGCCTACAGCACCCGAGGCGTCAGGGGACTAGAACCCCGACTCACAAAGTCTCGCCCCTCTAGCCCACCCTTCTCTGAGCCCGTGGTTCACTTCCCACGGACTTCCCTGTGTGCCTGGTAGGCTGGCCAGTGCCCATCACGATGAGATTTACTGTCTCCACAGCTGCTGTTTTCTCCTGCTCTGTCCCAGGAGTGCGTCCAGAGCTCTACGTTCAGGCCTGTCTGCCGGCGCCGCTCTTGTGGACACGCGTGAAGGGGGAATTAATTATTGTTGTTAGGTGCTGTCGGTTCGAATTCGGAGGGACCCCGAGTGACAGAGTAGAACTGCCCCACAGGGTTTTCTAGGCTGCAGTCTTTACAGGAGCAGTTCACCAGATCTTTCCCCCGAGGAGCCACTGGGTGGGTTTGAACCACCGACCTTTTGGTTAATAGCCAAGCGCTTAACCATTACTCCAGCTTGGGGCTGGATCAGCAGTCACCAGTGGGTCAGTGCTTCCGTGATAGCTATGGAATGACGGTCTGCGCTTTTCTGCTCCCGAGGGACATCTGGAATCTGAATGCTCCCTGCTCGAATTTAATTCTCTGCAGCTGGACTTTCTCACAGTTGTAACTTTGCTCATAAAGATAACGCTAGCTCTGGCTGTGACGCGCGCACTCGGGAAGAAATATAGAAAGCATTTGCCTGGGTCAAGTGATTATTTCTTAGCGGCCTTTGAGGAAATAGTCTATGAAAGCCTTGGAATTTTCTTTTTTTTTTAAATTTGCTTTAATATAATTCTATTCATTCATTCACTTCCTATTATTTCTTTTCCACAATTAACAATGAGGGTAAGAAAATCACTAAATTTCAAACTGCAATAGTGCTTTTACAAAGCCTGCAGCTGCTTTCTGTTATCAAAGATTAGAAACGATGCATCTAGAGACTGTTCCTGAAAGTTCCCGCTTTCTCAATGCCCCAAGTTTAGATTCCACTCCCTACATTTCCTATTATTGCTTTCATTGCCAATCAGTGGCACAGATTATGATTTTGGCTTGCCAACTCTGCACCAGATCACCGATCTGAAATCCATTCTAGTGACTGGGAATTGCTATTATTCTGTGATAGATCTGTTCTTTCATCTCTAAGTTAAGCACGAGACTTGTGCTGTGGCTGCCGGGAAAGGCGCTGGTGGTTACTTCCTGCAGCTACCTGTGACTGTGTGCCAGGCACCCGCATTTTACCTGCAGGGGGATCAGTATCCTAGCCTTTATTTTCCAGGTGAGAAAACAGAGGCTCAGACAGGTGACAAAACTCAACCTGCAGAGCTGGGGAGGGGAACCCCGGCCAGAGGGCACAGTAGCCTGTGGCCCCCCTTACAGGAGAGGAAGGGGCTTTTCTGACGGCTCTGGAACAATCCAGCAGATGAGCAATGCCCTGTAACCAGACAAACTCGTTACCCACCAGGGTCATTGTCTGACACTCCACCGCTCCCAGGAGGAGAGGCCCTGAGCTGAGGCCGGCTCTGCCCGGACCCTGGCAGATCCTGCTGCTGCTCAGGGGCCCTTTAAGAAGCCCCAGAGGTTACCCGTGTGGCGGCACCCCCTCCAGCTGGCCCTTCTGTGGACTCAGCCTGGTGACTGGGCTCGTCCTTTCTTCCTTGTAACCAACCTCCCAGAGTTCCCCAAGTCCTGTTCCTGGGCCCACACTGACTCGCTGCCTGCAGGCAGAATTGATACTGGTTAAGCCCTGGTGGCACGGTCGTTAAGCACTGGGCTGCTAACCCAATGGTTGGCTGGTTGAACCCACCAAGCTGCTCCTTGGAAACCCTATGGTGCAGTTCTCCTCTGTCCTACAGGTCACTGTGAGTCGGAACTGATCGACAGCAGCGCGGTTTTGTACGGGTTAATAACAAACTCGGGTTTCGAAAAGAGGCAGGACTGGGTCTGGAAGTTTCCAGGGCTGCTCTCTACCAGCTGTGTGGCATCAGGCAGGTTACTGCACCTCGCTGTCCCTTTCCTCGCCTGAGAAATCAGCTCAGCGACAGAAGGCCTCTCACAGGACTGTCCTGAGGCCCTCGGTCACAGCGGCGGGCAGAGCCCTGGGCACTGTGCCTGGCGGGAGAGCAGATTCCCAGACCCTGTGGCTGTCCTTTACCCACAGAACCTCCTCGCTGCTCTGGACCAGCCCAGGAACGCTCCCTCCGTTTGCTGCCCAGCTCTGGGGGTGCTGGGCTTCTCCCACTGCTGGCAGACCCTCTTCACGTGGCACAGGACCTGGTCATCTTTTACTGGCCTTGCCTTACTCTCATTTGGGCCATACGCTTTTCTTCTGGAAGGCCGGGTCTGAGATATTTGTTTAGCCCCTAAAAAACTCCTACACAGAGTGGGTACTCAGTAAATCTCGGTTGATAAATAGACTTTTTTTTTTTTTTTTTTTGCTATATCAGGAGAGAAAACAAATGGCGCTGAACCTGCAGGTCTTTGACAGCAAGGAACGGTGTTGTGTTTCCGGTGGTCCCCGCAAGTGGCCACACTGGGATGACCAAAAACCTAAACCAAGGACCCCGACTCGTGGCAACCCCACGTGTCAGAGTAAAAAGGCTCCACAGGGTGTTCTTTGTGATGTAAGCACTCTCCTAAATGGGTAGGGACGAGGGCAGTTGTGGACACCTCCTTCTTGGCCAGGGAAAGGGACTGAATCCTAAGTTCACCGCCTCTCCGTCCCTCAATGCCTCTGTGCAGAAGGCACACACTTGGATGTTTTTGTTATAAAGAGTATTTCCCCGATAGGAACCATGAAGACTATACATTTATTACACAAGAGCCACAAACCACCGTTAGCGCTCTCAGCCTCCGAGGAAATAGCTTCTGTTATTTTTAATAAATCTTTTTGAGTGTGTGTTTACCGTAGAGCATTTGTTAACCTCGAGTTTTACCTTGTCATTTGGTCTCAGTTTTAAATCACCCAGATAGGGGTTCTTTAACGACCCTATTTTAAGCAGCAGATAGCACAGGAGTGGTTAATATCACTGGAGGGGAACTGTCACTTTCACAGACTACCTCCGGGGACAGGAGACGGGGCAGGAGGGAGGGCAGCAAGGTAACCTTAACTACAAGCTTAGCTGCGATGCGCAAACATCACAGGTGTTAGCGAGGTGCGGTTGGCAGGGATCCTGCCTTGCTTCTTTCAGTCTGGGAGGGGTGATACATGGCTCTCAAAAATAAATCACTCTATTGCTGCATTGTCCCGATCCAGCTGCGGGGAAACACAGCAAGCAAAAAAACAAAACAGTTGCCTGGAGCCGACTCTGACTCTTGGTGACCCCATGAGCGTCAGAGTAGAAATGGGCTCCATGGGGTTTTCAATGGCTGATTTTTTGGAGTAGAATGCCTTTCTTCTGAAGCACATCTGGGTGGACTTGAACCTCCAACTCTTTGGTTAGCAGCCAAGCGTGTTAACTGTGGGCACCACCCAGTGGCTGCAGCACCCAGCAGGCCCGGGATGATCTGCTCTCATAGCAGTGGGGCCCCCCGTGTGCAGCCGGGCTGGCCTCTGCCAGCATGAAGAGAACGGAAGTGCTCACTGACCTGCTGTGCTCACCATGTACTTCCACTTGACCACATAGGCGTCCCCCTCGTGGAACTGCCCAATGCTCTGTTTGGGGAGCCTGCTGTAGTCGAACTCCAGGATGTGCCAGACATCCACTGAGACACTGGTGATCTCAAACTGCCGCCGGTCGTCCCCTTCCACCAGGCCGTAGCCACGGCCCACGTTCACCCCGTCCAGGACACTGCCGGTGGCCGTCTGGGGCACTGACACCATCTGTGTCACGTCGTATGATTTGACCTCGGCCCTAGGATCTTCCTGTCGGGGAACATGAAAACGTTCAGTTGCATCTCTTCCTAGTGCGGTGTCTTGTCACATTCAAGGCTGTTTTCAGAGTCAGTGGGCCAGTGTAAAAGCACTGTGGTCACACTCTGTCTCAGGGCATCGAGCTGCATTAGGGGAAATACCTGGGGGGCCCGAACACCCATCCTCAAACCAGCAAATGGGGCACCCACAGACCTGGTCCATTCCCAGCAGGGGCAGAGCAAACAGGGCCATTTGCACTTCCTGGAGTTAGAATCTAATGGAAGGCAGTTTGCTGTTCCACTAGCATATCCCAGGAAGGCTTCTAGCTTCAAGGCTACTGTCGCTGGGACCCAAAGAAATCTCCCAATACACAGGGCAGTCACAAGGACATACCTTCTGCTGGCTGAGTTCACCGGCGTTCTTCTCATTTCCTCTCTTCAGTTCCGTCCAATCAAGAAACTTTTCTTTGAAAAGAATCGTCTCATTGTGTTCAGTAAGTCTCCCAAATATTGCCCAGTCAGGCCGCCCTTGTCCTTTTCTGCAGGGGGTGGGGGAGTGGATAGCAAAGGAACCAAGACTAAGTCATGCTAAAACAAAGGAAAGGAATCTCAAACAAACTCTTGTGGCTACTGGAAAAAAAAAAAATTCAAAATATTTAAGTGGTTTATAGCATGAATGGTTTATTTTTACTTGTTTTCGCAAATAAGTGACATCTTATTATTTTAGCCTGAAGCCTTACGAGACTTTATGTCCATGGAGTTCATGTGCCTGAATTCAACGAGAACCATGACAGGACTGGACTTTTCTTGCATTCTAGCAAATTCTTGTATTTGGGATCCCCTGGGACTGGCACACTAGACTGGGACGTCGGCAGAGGCAGAAGCCGTGTATCTGATTCACCTCTATACGCCACCCATAGTGGTTGACCTGGTCAGTGCTCATGAAGTTTCTGTTGAACTAATTAATGGCTATAAGGAAGATGTAGTTCACCCTGAATTCTCCTTTATTAGAAGTCATGTTACAATAAAGTTCTCCTGTATACTGATTCTCATGTGCTACTGAAAGGAACCTATTTTCATATATCATACAGTGAATTTTTTTTTTATTGTACTTTAGATGAAGGTTTACATAACAAATAGTTTCTCATTAAACAGTACACACACTGTTTTATGACACTGTTTAACAACCCCACGACATGTCAACACTGTCCCTTCTCAAACCTTGGGTTCCCTATTACCAGCTTTCCTGTTCCCTTCTGCCTTCTAGTCCTTGTCCCTGGACTGTTGTGCCCCATTAGTCTCGTTTTGTTTTATGGGGCTGTCTAATCTTTGGCTGCAGGGTGAACCTCGGGAGTGACTTCAGTACTCAGCTAAAAGGGTGTCCAGAGGCCATACTCTCGGGGTTTCTCCAGTCTCTGTCAGGCCAGTAAGTCTGGTCTTTTTTTGTGAGTTAGAATTTTGTTCTGTATTTTTCTCCAGCTCTGTCTGGGATCCTCTGTTGTGATCCCAGTCAGAGCAGTCAGTGGTGGTAGCCAGGGCACCATCTAATTGTGCTGGACTCAGTCTGGTGGAGGCCCCACACAGTGAATTTTTAAATATTTATTTCCAGGCCACTGGGTACTACAGTGGGCATGGACAGCACATGATATAGGACAGCGCACAGCCCAAGTAAGGTCTACACTGTCTTAGTAGTTCAGAATCTGAAACCATGCCTGGAACACAGATGATTTAAACAAAGGTAGAGCTGAGAAAATCTGTGCTGTAGAGGGCACAGCCCTGAAAATCCCGTGCAGGCATTTCTCATCCTTGACAATCTGTTGGTTGAGAATTGAGGCCAGGACAGTAGATATACCCACCAGAGCAACTAACAGTGCCTACTGCGTGTGCCTGCTCTGACCTACACTTTGTATTTCCTATTGGTTCTAGACCCACAGTTTCTGACCGCAGGGAAGGCACATCAAGGGGGCTGCCTGTTTCAGTGGAAACGGAAGGACAAAGCACACATACTTCTCGCTTGTGCTCCAGCAGGATTCAAGGAACCAAGTATCTGCAAGTATGGAAAATTCCGGACTACCTTGAAAGGCTGTGGTCTTTATGAGAAAATATCTAAACAACTGTCTTTTATATGATTTCTACTATGCAGACCTAAGATGACTGTAAAAGAGTACTTGGCTTCAGCTTTAGAAATTTATCTTCTGTGATTTGTAGCCAAGCGAACAGCAGGTTGCAGTGTGAAGGGCTGAGGTCAGAAGCAGGTGCCAGGGAGCTTCTCCACCTCCATCACAGACTCCCACATTTGAACTGGGCTACATCAGGGCACGTCAGCAGTTTCAGCCTCCTCATTTGTTAACAAGGGTGCCAAATGCTCAATCTTGGCTGCACCTTAAAATCTCTGGGGCTTTTAAAACATACTGACAATCCAAGATACAATAAGTGGTCTCTATTTGCCTGGAGCAGTAGAGGAAGAAGGAGACTCAGGAACCAGAGAAGGAACTGGACTGCAGGTCTAGTTGCCTTCATGAACTACTGCCTCCTTAGCCATGAAACCAGAAGAACCGGATGGTGCCTGGCTACCATTTCTGAACATTTTGATCAAGAACTCAACACATGTATCCTGATCAAAAGGGGGGAATGTGGAACAGATTTCAAATTTCTTCTAGAACCTAGACTTACTGGACCCACTAAGGCTGGAGAAACACCCGAATCTCCTGCTCTTAGAAAATTTTTGAACCTTGAACTGAAACAATCTCCTGAAGTCATCTTGAAACTAAACAGTAGTTTAGCTGAATTAGTAAAGATGTTCATCATGAACACTGAGCTCTTTTACTCGATTATCTACAACAGATCAAACTGACAATAGTAACTCTAAAGCATAGATGAGTAGTTTATGGGGCAGTGAGTCAACGGTGATGAAATAATATGGGGAGACATATCAAAAATGGTGACACAACATGAAGAATGGAACCAGTGTCATTGAATTGAATATGCAGAAGTTGTTGAATGGATGTATAATCTGCTGTGTATATTTTCACCGAAACAAAAAAACAAAACAACAACAAAAAACACATACTGACACACAAGCCCCAACCTACACAAACTGAAAAATCTCAGTGTGTCAGCCCAGCATATGCATTTTTAAAAAAGCCCCTCCGGTGATCCTGATCTCAGGTGTGTTGACAGCCAGTGGGTTAGATGCTTACCAACCCATTGCTGTTGAGTCAATTCTAACTCATAGTGACCCTACAGGACAGAGTAGAACTGCCCCATAGGGTTTCCAAGGAGCGGCTGGTGGATTCAAACTGCTGACCTTTCAGTTAGCAGCCAAACGTTTAACCACTGTGCCACCAGGGCACCAAGATGCTTACCAGTGGGTTGGAAACATCTACTTCCTGGTCTCTGAATTAAATATAAATTGTCCATTGTATAGATTTATGCCTCAGCATTATTTTGTTCTTCTACCATACCAAATAAAATATTCTCCTTAGCCTTCACTTTAGTCCTTAAAACACTGGTTGTTACGGTACTAACTTTGTTACGTTAAATGTGCATTTGACCCACATTGACATAATTTTTAATTGTTTCTATACTGATAAATAATGATAAAATAAATAATTGCATTTTAAAACAGGAAAGTTAAAACTTGTATATTAGATTAATGGAAAATATTAAAATGTAATTGTGTGACACCAAATATTCTAGCTGTAAGGAGCCCTGGTGGCGCAGTGGTTAAGCGCTCAGCCGCTAACTGAAAGGTCAGCGGTTTGAACCCACCAGCTGCTCTGTGGGAGAAAGATGTGGCAGTCTGCTTCCATAAAGATTACAGCCTTGGAAACCCTACAGGGCAGTTCTCCTCTGCCTTACAGGATCCTTATGAGTCAGAATCGATTCAACAGCAAAGGATTTTTGGTGGGTACAACTATTGTAACCTATTAAATTTAAAGGTATTTTTCCCCCAGTAGTTAAAAACAATAATACATACTTTCTTTGCAGATAAAAATAATTTTTCTCTTGACTATATTTCTTACATTTTGCGTACATTCTGTTGATTTACCAAAATGGGCTTCAAAAGTCCTGTACACTGTAGGAAGTCATTAAAATTACAATCATTATTTCAGTACTATATGCCAGAAAGAAAAAGAAAAAAAGCATAAACATCATTTACCACCAACTAAATGTGGAACCCTGGAATTCAAGGGCTCTGTTCCTAAGGAATGAAATTAGAAGGAAACTTGTTGCTTTTATACCTTCAGATCAATGGCTAAACTCCAGATCCTGGGAAGTTTTTCAGATTAGCACGGAATTTGTTTAAACAATTGCTATTCATCTGCCACAAGAGCATCTGGAATGCTGCAGGTGGGATCAACTTGTTCACTTTAAGAAATTAAGTATAACACAAACGCCTTCCAGAAAACTACAACGTCCATATTAGTTTGTTAAAAGCTAAGGAAAAATGTTCTCATATGTGAATATTCATGCTATGCTGCATATAATCGCATATGAAAACTAAAATCTATAAAAAGCAACAGTAAATAACTAGAGTAAGAATGGAGGCAGATGAAAGGATTCCGCTCACTCTACATGTAACCCGATGGCACCATCAACACACCTGGGAATAAGCTGGTTGCATTCTCCAGGATCCAATGGATTGATGTCACAGTTCTCATAGTCAAAGGTTCCATTCCATAAGTGTTTTGCCAGCTGAAATGCAATTTTTCGTTGTGCTAAGGTGACTTCTTTTCCATGCCACACGTAAACTTCACTGCCAAAATCAAACACCAACACCTGGGAAAATGGCACAAAAGAATTTGCTGACTTCAAGGATGTGCTCAGAGTTGAATCAGAGTCTCTAATGAGAGAGAGTCAAATGGGTGATGATATAAACCCTAGTGGAACAATCAGTATAAATTCAAAAAGGTTGCAAGAGCTGACCACCTGGCACAGCACTGCCAAGCCAGCCTTTGCCCCCATGGATGTGATCTCCTCAGGGTTGTCCTATAAGCCTGTCATAGATTGAACTGTGTCCCCCAAAAATATCTGTCAACTTGGCTAGGTCATGATTCCCAGTATTGCACGATTGGCTACCATTTTGTAATCTGATGTGATTTCCCTATGTGTTGTAAACTCTATCACTATGATGTAATAAGATGGATTAGAGGCAGTTATACTGATGAGGTCTACAAGATTAGATAGTGTCTTAAGCCGAACTCTTCTGAGATATAAAAGAGAGAAGTGAGCAGAGATACCTGGGGACCTCATACCACCAAGAAAGCAGTGCTGGGAGCAGAGCGCGTCCTTTGGACCTGAGGTTCCTGCGCTGAGGTGCTCCCAGACCAAGGGAAGACTGATGCAACACAAGGACCTTTCTCCAGAACCAACAGAGAGAGAAAGCCTCCCCCTGGAGCTGATGCCCTGAATTTGGACTTGCAGCCTACTGGACTGTGAGAGAATAAACTTATCTTTGTGGTATTTCTGTTATAGCAGCACAAGATAACTAAGACACCATCCACTTGAGGTGTTTCTGTTATAGCAGCACTAGATAACGAAGACAATGCCCAAATTAACGTTCCCTCCTCTGAACTCTCAAACCACTTAGAATTTTTGATTCATAAAAGAGTTAAGTACATCTTCCTTACTCCCTCCCTCCTTTCCTTCCTTCTTTTCTCCATCCCTTGCTCATTTGATTGTTGTTGTTTCTGTTAGGTGCTGTTGAGTTGATTCCAACTCACAGCGACCCCACTGTCAAAAGTAGAACTGCCCCATAGGGTATTCTAGGCTGTAATCTTTATGGAAGCAGATCACCAGGTCTTTCTCCTGTGGAGTGGCTGGGTGGGTTCTAAATGCCAACCTTTTGGTTTGCAGCTGAGCACTTAACCCTTGCACCACCAGGGCTGCTTTCTCCCTTGTTAATCCCTCCTCATTTGTTCATTCATTCACTCAACTAACATCTACAGGCCAGTTCATACAGGCCAGACACTGAGGATCCAAAGAAGCCTTCTCTCCTACATACAATTCCAAATCCCTAAGGGCAGAGACCATACTTTACTCCTATATACAGTAGGGATTTATTCAATGTAGGCTGAATGAGTACCTGCATGCAATGCTATTTCTTATTTCCATGTCTTTAGTTTGTTTCACTCTTTCTTCCTATAAAAGAATTTCTCCCTTCATTTTCAGCAATCCAAATTCTATTTAACACCAAGGCCAGGCTCAATTCCACATTTTCTTTAAAGATATCCCTGATTATCTCTTTTTCTGTAACGTTCCACCCCTTTAAAGGTCCACATCATGTGTAGCCTGTGTGATACAACCTAGCTTTAGATTGTTCTTTCTAATACCCTTCTACCCAACTAAATTTACGGTCCTTTTGTGTCTTCCACTTGTTTTCTCAGCACTTAGAATATGTACTGGTACTAGAAATGCATGTATTTCAGCGGCTCTGCAGGAGAAAAACCCGGGGAATCTGTTTCTATAAAGATCACAGCCTAGGAAATCCTATGGGGCAGTTCTGCTCTGTCATATGGGGTCGCTATGAGTCGAAAATCCATTCGATGCCACCTAACGACACCAACAACAAATATTTATTGGTATGAGAGGACAAAACAGCACATTACCGTAATTTATAACCATAAAGTACATATATGTATATCTCTTATTCCTTAAACTTAAGGACTGAAAAATATTTAATGTTTATACAAAAATCAAGAGTTAGGGCGAGGAAATATTTACATTTTGCCTAAATATAATTATATTGTAGTAGAAAAGAAAATCCACCCATGACCCCTGCATCCTCTGAACAATTTTCTGAGTTCTGTTTTAGTATTTCAGATGGCAGTAATGGTTTGAAATCATAAAGAAACGCCTTCTCCAAAGCTGCAAGTGTTCCACAATCAGGGCTAACCCTGGCTCACTTTTCCTGGGCACTTGCTATTTATTTTACTGGGCAGGTCCTGGGCCAAGCATTAAATGTGCTTTCTTGCTGATGAGCAGCGCGGCCTCACTGTACCTCTTTTGATTGCAGAAGGGAGCACTTGGGGATCTTCCCCCAGTAGTCATCATCAGGTACAAGTTTGTCCTCCATCAAACGGTAAATGCAGTTTGTTTCTATTATGGCTGTTTCATACAGTTCATCTTCTTTGGGGTCTCCAGCAGCTGTGGGATAAGAACAAAAAGAGAGCACCAACACTGAAAAGCAGCCAGTGTAGAGGAAGGTGCTGGGGCAGAAGGAAGAACACTGGAGTCTTGCCTTCCTCTGAAATACAGTAAACTCTTACATTGGTAAGTGGTTTGGCCGCCTAGGAGTTTCCAGAAGTCTTTGGCTGCGTGGGTGTGTGTATTAATTCCTTCTTCGATAGTTTGGATATAGGTAGCTCTACAACCAAGTTCCCTCTTCGTCTGAATTAAAGTTGCAAGTTCTGAGGCCTGAGGGAGGAAGACAATGACCTGGGTAGAAGAGCCCTGGCTCAGCCCAGCCACCCGTGTTGAAATCAGAAGAGAAATGGTGTGTCTCAAAGGAAGACCCGGTGACCACAGGGCTGGAGAACACTGGTTGTTGGATATTTTCCATAAAGTTAAGAAAAATGTAACTGAAGAACCAATAGTAATCAGTTCTTCAGAACAATAGGTCTCAGTCTTAAATATTCAACAGATCACTCGTAAAGCTTTTTAAAAAATACCCATTACCTGGGCTTTCCCCCTTGAGATCCTCCCTGCACTAGGTCTGTGGTAGAATTTCACATTGATAACAATTTTGTGATAAACAATTTTGAAGTGATATGCCAGTCTTTTTTTTACATAGAGTAAGAATAAACCCAGAACTTAAAAATTGGAGGTGTAAGCCATAATCCTTCTAGAACATTCCACTTAAGCACCCAGTGAAAAATATCAGGGAAACAAACACTACCAGTCCCTTCTTGCTTGAATGAAACATTTGAAGTTTGAGAAGTTTTGTAATAATCTGAAAACTGGTAGGGCATTCTATAGTTATATAAAGGAGATGCTTAAGGAAAGTATCTTTCGGATACCAACCTTTGCCTTTTCTATGACATTTGCAAACTCTCCGACCCACAGGAAGCAGTAATGGGGAGATAAGAGAAGGAAGCAGTCCCCGCTGTTGAGGGACGAAGCTCGTGGCTCAACCAGTCTTGTCTGCACATGTCTTCTTCCTGATCACAAGGCAGAGAGTCAGTGTCTTCCCAGGAAACAGAACTAGTACCAGGAAGCACCCCACAATTAAAGCATTCCTGCTACAAATGCTTTCAATTCTAAAGAGTCTGCTAGCATTAGTTCTTGTGAACCCAGGCGGCACGAGTGGGGTTTAAAATGGGCAACATGATGGCATTATTGATTACTTTCCCTTCCTGATGGTCTTTCCTCAAAGCCACCAATCCTCTTAGCACTATTAAACCCAAAAACCAAACCTGTTGCCGTTGAGTCGATTCCAACTCACAGTGACCCTGCAGGATAGAGTAGAACTGCCTTGTAGGGTTTCCAAGGAGTGGCTGGTGGACTCGAACTGCTGCTCTTTTGGTTAGCAGCTGAGCTCTTAACCACTGAGACACCGGGGCTTCCTTAGGTCCATTATCAGCGTCTTTTCACAGCATGTGTACAGGTAATTTAGGTTCCTTCCTCCAGGACAGCTGGCAAACATGCTTCTTTTCCCTTCCTTCACTTCTCTGCCTGTTCCACTCTCCCCACTCAGCCCGCCTCCCATACTAAATAGCACCTGTTGGCCATGCTACAGACACGTCAGAGCGGGAGGGCAGGGCTGGAAGAGACGGGGTGACTTCTACAGGATCTTCTTCTTCAGGAATATTCACAAAAACCACAGGGGAATCAGCTCGGAGGGAAGCACTGCCATGTACCGCTTTCAATAACCCGTAAAACCCGCTGACATCGGCTACATTCCGACTCATAGTGACCCTGTAGGACGGAGAGAACTGCCCCACAGGGTTTCCAAGGCTGTCATCTTTACAGAAGCAGACTGCCACATCTTTCTCCTGCGGAGCAGGGCCGGTGGGTTTGAACCCTGCCCTTTTGGTTAGCAACTGAGCACTTAACCACTGCACCACCAGGGCTCCTTTTACTTTCAATACCAGCTCCTAAATGATCTGTTGCTTCAGATCTTTCCAGAATTACACTGGATTAGAACATGGGAACAGAGATTGGTTAGTTGAGCTTGTCATTAGGGCTGTCTTTTCAGTAACCTACAAAGGACAGTGGTTATGCAGAAACACACCCAGAATGCTTTGAGGCCATCAAGTTTGCCCATCCTTCTCGTGATGACTAATCTGTAGGGGCTGCCTCTAGGGGGCAGTCTGTCTCCTCAGAGCCCAGAGCCCTTGCTACTGACAGAAAGTGTGTTGGAGTGGGATCGGGGTGTGCTTCATTTACCCTGATTTTCCCTGATTCCTTCTCCAGGAACGTGCATCTCTCCCTCTGGCCTGCACTGATTCCTTGTGTATCTCACTGCTCGAGGTCAGTGATGGCCTGCGGCTCTCCTTTACAGATGACTAGGAGGTATCTGGTGACTGCATGACCGTGTCATGGCCTGGGGCACAGGAGTAGGCTGAAGTAGGAGAGACCTGGGCTCAGACCCAGCTGGGCCTCTTAACAGCCACCGTGGCCTCAGCAGGCCCAATGCTTCCTCCCGCATGGGATTTTGTGATGCTTCATGAGAAGAGGTAGACAGTGCTGGGCACACAGTAGGTTCTCAAAGAGCATGAGCCTACCCCTTACAGTCAGGAAAGGGAGCAGCCAGGACGCCTGGCGTTCCCAGACAGAAGCCCCCAGCCAACGTGCAGTTCCCCAGGCTGCTCCGAAATACCTTTGATCTGTAACAGCATCAGCTTCTTGTAGGGCACCGCGCTGTTGTTGGAATTCTGCTCCGTCAGGTTGACGCTCCGCAGGCTGACGTTGCTGAAGTTTTCTTTGCTGGCTAAACCCGCCAGGGTGACTTCTGAGAAGTTGTTGTTGGAGGACACTGGGCAGGGCGTGTGAGGAAACACAGAGAAAGAAGAAGGAACACTTCAGGTGAGACGCGTGTTTACCCTCAGAAAGTGCTCATCACTATCTTTGTCTTTTCTTTTAAAGTTCATCCTGAGGGGGAAAACATACTCCAGTGTGATAAACTATGCAGTTCAAAGGTTACCCAGGGTACTAAGAATTAAACGTCGTATTGAAGGTTATAAACTGCTTCTTGACAAGCCTTTCACCTCAGCGCACAGAGACAAGGACTGAGTGACAGGCCAGGACAGCTACTTCAGCACAAACTCAGGAGCCGAACTCGTTCATTGCAATTCCCCTGAAAGCCGCCATAACCATCCCTAACAGCTTTTACGTGTTGCCAACACATTTCGAGAAGACTGTTGGCTGTCATTCCCCAGAAGTCTTTATATGTAACAGTATAGACACTTGATAAGGGATGGGTTAGTTCCAGTCTTCTCTGGAGGCAAAGTGATCTCTTGAGGTCCTTTGCTTTCAGACCTAATGTTGTAATAACAAGACGTTGGATTTTTAGTGTAGATCACCAAATATAATCAGTTACCACAAACCAACCCCCTGAACCATCAAAAATGGGAGTCAGAGGAAAAGTATGTAACAATGGTGCCAATACACCTTTATTTCTCCACTCTTATGGTTTAAAAAAATGCATATGCTGGAGAAAAATTCAGAAAATCATTTCACAGGGATTAGGTTTTAACCCTGATGAAATATAACATTCTTACAATTTATATGGTGAGAGCAATTTTGAAATACACTTTCTTAGGAGACCAGCTAGTAACGTAACAACGTCACCTAAACACTCTATTTACAAGAAAAGTTTTAGGAGACACGTTCATGAGTTCACGGTGTTGTTGTTAGCTGCCACGGAGTTGACCCCTGGCTCATGGTGACCCCTGCACGACAGAAAGAAATGCTGCCAGGCCCTGCACCATCCCCATGATCGGTTCAACACGAACCATTGTGATCCATAGGGTTTACATTGGCTGACTTTCCGAAGTAGATTGCCAGGCCTTTCTGCCTAGTCCGTCTTAGTCTGGAAGTCCCTCTCAAACCTGTTCAGCATCATAGCAACATACAAGCCTCCACTGACAGAGCGGGGTGGCTGCACATGACGGGCACTGGCGGGGAACAGAACCTGGGTTTCCTGCATGGAAGGTGGGAATTCTATCCCTGAGTCACCGCTGCCCTTGTGAGTACCCCAGGAAGATAAGAACTATAGCTCGTGTATTCAAAATAGCAAGATGGTTCATGTCATTACCTCCACCCAGAAAACCGTGATTTCAGAACCCTGGAACCCCAAAGAGTCAGGCAGATAAAAGCAGAGCTGCTTTGCCTGAAGCAGGAAGGGCCTGGAGGCCCATCTCCTCACTCCCCAGGTGTCACTCCACCCTGACCCACAGCCTCAAGTACAGAGGCAGGAGGGTGACTCCAAATACTCACTTTTTTCCACCTTCATCCGTTTGGACTCCATGAAAGCAACGTTTAATCTCTGTTCCGTGTATTCCTGAAGAAGATCTTCTCTCGCCGCCAGCATTTTCAGGGGGTTTTTGGAAGCTTGCACCCGGCGCTTCGGCCTGACTGCACGCTTGTGCTCAGCCACAGAAGAGGTCAACCTGAGGGGCAAAGCAGAGACCACCCGCCTGGTCTACCAGAAAAACTGTTACCCAAGGCTCTCTGGCCAGGAGCACTGGGTCGCCTATAAACTCGGAGCTGTGTGGGGCCATCTCCCACTGCTAGGTCACATCTTGGCTGAGAGTGAAGCCAGCCCAAAGGAACGCACACAAGAGAAACTACATTTGGATGAGCCCCTGGAACCTGATGTGCCTGGAACTAGCTCATGCCTGCACCTTTCAGCCTGTGAACCTGTAAAATCCCCCCATCTCTCTTTTGCTTAAATCAATCTGACTTTCCGACACTTGCAGCAGAAGGAATCCTGACACCACAATGCTTTTTCTTAGGTGGTCTAGTCATGTTTCTGTGTGAAGAGAAACCCTGGGACGTGACTGAGAAAACCCTCAGATCCACTGATTCTATAGATTATTATAAAGTAAGCAACATTCTTTACTGATTTGCCAGTTATTGTATCCATTTAAGCCCATATGATCCAAATATTGGTTCAAAGTTATGGGAAGAATTCACTATGTCAGCTGAAAGACAGGTATAGACAGTTCTGTTCAACTACGTTAATATAAAAATTTGCAAAACGTTCAAGTTATGTAAAAAATCCAGTGACAACAGTTTTTATGGAACGGGACAAACATGTGTGGCTCAGGCTGTGCCCACAGCTGTTCCGCCTGAAAGCACATCTGTTTCGGATGCTGGCTGCGTCCAGCCCACAGAACCAGGCGTCCGGCTCTGGGGAATAATAAGTCGGGCTGTAATGGAGTTCTGTTGCAGCGGATAATGTAGCGGGAGAAGATCCTGAGAAAGCACCAAGTGCAGGCAGAGGAAGAAAGGCGCTTTCGTGAGAGGAACAAACAAGACCGAAATAACTCACTTGGGCGTGTAAGGGTCGAAAATAACATCAAAGTCCTGGTACAGCTCGGCGGGACTTCTTGGTGTGGCATGATCCACGCTGCGGTAAAATCTGGCGAAGGTTTCATCGTCATCCAGCTTCATTACCTCTTTCACGGATTGACCAGTGACAGTGAGGATGGTTTCTTGCATCCCACCAACTACCAACAAAGCAGCAAATAAACAGCTTATGATGTGTATGACTCCAGCTATGGCTCACAAGTCTAAAAATCCTTTTTCCCCTAAGTTCCAGGAGTGGAGGAGACATGCTGGTAACACACAGGTGCTCTGGTGCTTCCTTGGCCCTTATTGACTTCTCACGCAAGGACTTCCCACCCACACAAAGCTTCCACAGCAAAGTGGTTGCAGACAGGGAGGTGGCCCTTCTGCACATAAGCCTGCGAAGCATGCATTTCTTTACTTGTTTCTCTTCCTGCTGGAGGGAGAAGAGCCTCAGTCTCATTCGAGAACAGGGGTTGGCAAGCTTCTTCTGCAAAGGGCCAGACGGTACATATTTTAGGCTTTCAGGGGGGCCATAAGGCCTCTGTTGTGGCTACTCATCTCTGTTGTTGTAATGCAAGTGTAGCTATTGACAGTATGTGAACAAATGGATATGCCTGTGTTCCAATAAAACTTTATTTACAAAAACAGGTAGACAGCTGGATTTGGCTGACCCCTGGGTTACATCGGAGCACTGGTGGCACAGCAGTTATGAGTTAGGGTGTTAACTAAAAGGTCAGCAGTTTGTGAGTGAAATAAGTCAATCACAAAAGGACAAATATTGTATGAGATCTCTATTGTAAAAACCCATGAAAAAGTTCACACACAAAATGTAACAATCTTTGTTGGTTACCAGGGATGGGAGGGGTGGGGGGGAAATACTAAATAGGCAATAGATAAGTGGTATCTTGGGTGAAGGGTGAGACAGTACACAATACAGGGGTAACCAGCACAACTTGTACAAGGAAAGGTCATGGAAGCTCCATAGACACATCCAAACTCCCTGAGGGACTGAATTGCTGGGTGGAGGGCTATGGGGACCATGGTCTCGGGGAACATCTAGCTCAATTGGCATAACACAGTTTATAAAGACAATGTTCTACATTCTACCTTGGTGAGTAGCGTCTGGGGTCTTAAAAGCCTGTGAGCAGCCATTTAAGATACTCCACTGGTCTCATCCCTTCGGGAGCAAGGGAGAATGAAGAGAACAGGATACAAGGAAAAGATTAGTCCAAAGGACTAATGGACCACAGCTACCAAGGCCTCCACCAGACTGAGTCCAGTACAGCTAGATGGTGCCCGGCTACCACTGACTGCTCTGACCAGGATCACAACAGAGGGTTCTGGACAGAGCTGGAGAAGGATGTAGAACAAAATTCTAACTCACAAAAAAAAAGACCAGATTTACTGGCCTAAAGGAGACTGGAGAAACCCCGAGAGTATGGCCCCCAGGTACCCTCTTAGCTTCGTGGTGAAGTCATTTCCAAGGTTCACCATTCAGCCGGGGAGTGGACAGCCTCATAAAACCAAATGGGACTAATGAGGCACAGCAGTCCAGGGACAAGGGCCAGAAGGCAGAAGGGGACAGGAAAGCTGGTGATAGGGAACCCAAGGTTGAGTAAGGATATTGTTGATGTGCTGTGAGGTTGTTAACCATTGTCATAGGGCAACGTGTGTACTGTTAAATGAGAAACTATTTTGTTCTGTAAGCCTGCATCTAAAGTGAGAATAGCAGCACAATTGGAAGAGCGTAGTTGATGTCACTGAACTTTGCATGTAGAAATTTTTGAAATAGTGTATCTTTGGCTATGTATATTTTCACCAAAAAAAAAAAAAAAAAGTTGAGAAGAGAGGGTTGACATGTTGTGGGGTTGTTAACCAATGTCATAAAACAATATGTGTACTACTGTTTCATGAGAAACTATTTGTTCTGTAAGCCTTCACCTGAAGTACAATAATAAATAAATAAATAAAAAGGAAAAAAAAAGGTCAGCAGTTTGAATCCACCATCCACTCGTTGGAAACCCTATAAAGCAGCTCCAATCTGTCCTACAAGGTCACTATGAGTCGGAATTGACTTGGTGGCAATGGGTTTTGGGTTAGATCACGGTCACATGTATATAATAAACTTCCGATTGTTTGCATTCATTACCTAGCCAGTTTACTTACTCTATTACACTTTTATACTTCTGTTGTAAACTAGGTATTTATATTTACTTTCAACTACCATCAGTAAGGGCTCCTGGCTCCTAGTATTCGCTAAGTTTCAAACACTAGATATTTAATCAGGAATAAGTTATTTCTGCGTATTATTCTTTTCTTCTATGTACTTTACTGACTTTTGTATTGAAATATTTATTTTCACATTTATTTCTCAGAATATTCTTTTAGAAATCATTTATGATTATAAAAAATAATATCAGCTTTTACCTTACTGGAAGTTGATACATACAATTTAAAGTTCATCAGACCCAAGGTTATGGTGATTTTGTACATGTACAATGGTCTGCTTTCAGGGTTAAAAGCAAAATTACCAGGTTTACAATTCTGATTGGATCATACCCCAAGGGATCAGATTCAGGAACAAATGGGTTATTGAGGGGTCTCCAATTCAGCACACTCAGGTGCATCCAGAGCTTGGCGAGCCAATCAGACTTGATCGATAACTTCATCTTTGCTCTCACAACCAAGATAATACTTAAAAATACGGATCAGTAAAGTTATAAAAGAAAGCAGACAATGCAGTTGAGAAAAAGCAAACAGAATTGGGATTTAGAGACTTTGCTAGAAGAGCAGGTGATTTTAGGTTTCCTGAGATACTCCTTGAAGATCCGCATCAGTGTGCTGTTAGCACAGAAACCGAGGCTCCCCTTCTAGCATCTGTTATGTACCTTTGCTGTTCAGCCTTCGTAGGAAGGTCTCCAGCCTGTCCAGCTTCAGGTCGGATTCCAAAGGCATGTCTGGTCTGGCTTCGATATCTGAGCAAGAAGAAAACACCAATGACAGTGCCATTGAGTACCTTCTGACCCCAAGCCCGTTGGTATACTGGGTGTCTTGACCTACCTTCTAGGGGTTTGGAAACTGGGGTAGTGCCCCTTATTTTACTGCAAACAGGGGAAGCTACTGGAGTTATGGCGGTAGGTGATGCCAAACCTGCAGAATGAACAGAGGAACGATTTAGCAGCTCAGTCCCATTTCTGGAAATTCCTAGAACCTTGATGGATTGTAATAACCCCAGTGCTGATTTTACATTTATAGAATTTACATGCACACATGTGGCAGGAACCATGACTATGTAAGACCATTGCAAATGTCCCGTTGCCATGGAGTTGATTCCAACTCATAGAGACCCTAGAGGACAGAGAACTGCCCCACAGGGTTTCCAAAGAGCACCTGGTGGATTCCAGCTGCTGACCTTTTGGTTAGCAGTTGTAGTTCTTAACCACTGCACCATCAGGGTTTCCTTGCAAATGTGGACAGGTTTCTATTGTCTCTAAGGACTGGAGTAGATTCCATTCCAAAATGGACAATGAGGACATGTTGGGAAACACGTCTGCTGACATGCAAACTGAACAGAAGAATTCATAAGGCAATCAGAACATACTTGAACCAGTGGAGTTGTGGACTCTGAAGGCCCTGTGTGTGTCTGTGTGTGTGTGTGTGTGTGTGTGTGTGTGTGTGTGTGTGTGTGTGTGTGATGGGGGGCTAGTTGAGTAGTTCAGGAGAAAGCATGTTTGCACGGTCTCCCACAGAGGAAGCAAAGAATGAGCTGTGTCATGCCAACCAGCAAGTGGCCCCAGCACTGGAGTTCTCCTCCAGACTGAAGTGAGAGAGGGACTGTCTGGCCTTGGGGACAGCCCTCAAAGTGTGGCTGCACTGAGCAACAACGCAAGGAGTGCTAACCTTTAAAAGAAAGAAACAGAGAGTATAGATTTAAGCCTGTTTGTGATTATTGGAGGGTGTGTTGCAATGTCTCACGTGTGGCTGTGAATTGGCGCGATGCCTCCATATGTATTTATGGAGGAGTATAAGGTCCTTGGGTGGTGCAAATGGTTTCGCTCGGCTACCAACCGAAAAAGGTTGGCAGTTTGAACCTACCCAGTGGTGCCAAGGAAGAAAGGCCTGGCAATCTGCTTCTGTAAAGATTACAGCCAAGAAAACCCTGTGGAACAGTTCTACTCTGGAACCCACGGGGTTGCCATGAGTTGGAATGACTCAGTGGCAACGGGTTTGGTTTTGGTTTGGTTCTATGGAGAAGCAGGGTGGGGAATCTTTAAAGGACAAATGGTAAGGAACATGTGAAGGGGAAAAAGCTAATTCCAGTACAGAGAAGGAATCCAGCTGGAGCAAGAAACTTTAATGGGGCGGGGGGGAAAGAGTATTTTTTTCCTAAGTAAAAGGAGCTGGCAAAGGAAATTAACAGTGCCTTGACAAAGAACGGTATGAGATGTTAATTCTTTGTATTCATTTGTAATAAATGTGAAACTGTTAGATGTCATTGAGACTTCAAGCAGCCGTCAAAGAACAACATCAGGAGAAAATTTAAATCACTGTCACAAGGAAAAGTGAATGAAAGGATGGCTCTACCCCTTCTCCTCCTGTGACTGGGAGACATACATATTATAGCAAACGAGTTTTAAGGAAAAATACTGTAATGTGGTTTGAACTTTAAGTTTTAGGTAATATTCTACAAGCACTTCTCAATCTGTGTATGTATTTGCTTGATGATGTCAATAAAATTTTAAAAAATATTTCAATTACAAGACCTGCGAAAGGCTTATTACAGTGAGAAAGTAAATTGTCTTGAAGAAGAATAAAGACAGGTAAAATTTGGTGCACTAAGTTCGTTACACACTGGGACAGGGAATCATCCACTGAAAGGATGCTTAGCAGAGTTCGTTAGCTCGGAGGTCATTAACTCGGCAGCTAACAAACAGTGCCGATGCAGAAGGCTGATTTCCAAAGCAACCAGCTAAATCTGTCTCTGCTTGGCTAGAGCTGTGGGCAAAACTGCAGCCACATCGCCCCCTGCGGCCCCGTCCAGGCAGCGGCACGCGGACAGCTCCAGAGAGTGGGGACATCTCTTTCCCAGCTACAGATGAGGAGTTTCCGGTCATGGAGGGAAGCACGCAGATTTAAATTGAAAATGTTAACACAAAATAAGATGAAGCAAACCCTCCTCCCAAAAACTTCTAAAAAATGAATTCTACATTCAACAGTTACCTGGAAACAATCTCACATTCTCTTATGCAAAAGTATACGCTATTTTTCTTCCAGGAGGATCCTGGAAGACCACAAAGACTTTGTCGAATACTAAGTAAACATTAAGTGGAATCTAGGAGTTTCAAAAAGGGAGCCTGTCCTAACAAGGCTAGGGTAGAAAAAGAGTCCCATGGGGTGAGAGTGAACACCAGGCTGCAAGGCCTGGCACCCCACTGCTCTGTGGTGACTGTGGAAGGCAATACTGTAGTCTGAGAGATGGGCAGCCTCCCCAGGCTGGCGCGTGGGGGCTACTTCATTCTGCAGCAAGTGGAAACAGGAAGTCCTGTCTCTGCAAACCACAGAGAGCTTGTGATTCAGGTGAAACACATCGCCCCGTTAGTGATAACAGATATCAGACAAAAAGGGCATTGTTTTTACATTAGCTCATAAGCCGACGTGAAGGAAATTCCTGGGCACGCCACACGCTGTTGTCGTTAGCTGCCGCCCGGTCGGCCCCGGCGTACAACGGGTCCTGCGCCACCCCATGATCAACTGAGGACGGACTGTGATCCAAAGGGTTTTCACTGACTAATCTTCAGAAGCAGGTTGCCAGACCCTTCTTCCTAGTCCATCTTAATCTGAAAGCTGCTGAAACCTGTTTGGCACCATAGCAACACACAAGTCTCCCCTGACAGACAGGTGCACCGGCCCGAAATCGAACCCTGGTCTCTCACACAGAAGGCGAGTATTCCACCACTGACCCCCAGTGCTCCCATGCATACCACAGAAACCAAACCCACTGCTGTCGAGTCCATACAGCCCTTGTTAAACAAAGATTCTTGATTTATTCAGGACAAGGTGAAAGCAAACGCATTCTCGGAGGGACAGCAACTACTCTGGCTTCTTCTTCACACCTCAGCACTGGCCAGACAATGGGCCCCTCTAAGTTCCTGTTTGAGCCAAGCGCTGGGAAATCTAACGTGGCTGTGCCACTTCCTCTGACATCACTGTGGACAGGAGCAGTGGTATTTGGGAGTCAGGGCTCACTTACAAAGAATTACGATTTTTTTAAGATAGTAAACGAAAAAAGAAACCAAAGTAGAAAGTCATCAGGATAAAGTCCGTGCTCTAGAAGTAAAAGACCTGAGCTCGGGGCCAAGTTCTCAGCCTGAGTTCCACTGAGGCTCGGTGGGGCCTACCGTTTGCTTTTGTTAAAACAGAGATGGGGTCATGTGAACATGGTTTAACGCGATCATGCAGTTCTGTGCTTTGATAAAGAAAGCAGTGAAGCGCTACCTTCTCACTGCGAGTAACCAGTCTTCTGCTATCCTTCGACAATGCCAGGATTAAGTAAGAGTAGGCTCGCTAGGAAGGGTTCTTCCACCAAGACTTCAGTGAATCAAAATTCCGGGGTCTTCCCTCCCTCCCTCTCCCCTGCAAATGTTTTATTATACATCTACAGTGAATGAGGCACCATCCATCAGTGAGGATCCCCAAAGGTTTAGAGAAAGAGGAAAGATAAACCTCGACAGCTAGCGAAAACGTAAGTCAACTCTAAGTTAACAGGAAAACTTTTACCACTGATTTAGAAAATTTGCTTTAAAATAATTGCTTAGAAAATGAAAATCTGTGCGTATAGATAACAAAAAGAAAACACAGTTGCCATCAAGTCGATTCCAACTCATGGTGACCCCACGGGTGTCAGAGGAGCACTATGCTCCATGGGATTTTCAATGGCTGATTTTTTGGAAGTAGATCACCAGGTCTTTCTTCCAAGGTGTATCTGGGTAAACTCAAAGTTCCAACCTTTTGGTTAGTAGCTGAGCGTGCTGACCGTTTGCATCAACTAGGGACTCCACAGGTGACAAAAGGTCCCCAAATTTTAACCATTTCCTACAGGATAGAAGATAAAGACCCATGTGGTCCCATGGAGCTGCAAAGCTCTCTGATGACCTTACTAACCACGTGAAATGTCTATTTTATAAATGTCTGCATGTAGGCTTTAAATCATCCCAAGAGCTCAGCTGCAGAGAAATAACTTTCTGCAAAGAAATTCCTCTTCCTCGGAACTGGGTACATCTTTCACACACCTATTTAAAAGGTATCTGGAAATCAGGCTTTGTAAGCCACAGAAATCTGATTTGATGCAAAAGGACCTAGGTATTTAACCTAGAGGGGAGAGAAGTTAAAAAGCTTCTTTACTGAGAAAGGCTTACTTGAGTGAACTAGTTACCAGATCGAAAGAAAACGGAAACAATTTAAAAGTAATTATGGGAAAGCACCAAGATTTGTTCGCAGATATACAATTGATTCCGAAACCTGTGCTCCATTTCCAAACGGATAAATTTGGAAATAGTGATGAATTGAATGTTTCTCAGATTGAAAGTGACATTATTTATAAAGAAAAGGTTTCCAGCAGGGATAGCTCATAAAACTTCAGTAAGATTAAAGATTAAAAAAGACCATGGCTTGTGTTTTTTTAAACTAAGCTATCACACACATCATCTCACCTTCATGGGCGGGCAACACCACATACCCACACGCACACACAGGCACACGTAAACACACTCACACTTTCTCACACACACACGCTCACATACGCACACATGCTCACATCTGACCTTTCTTCACCATCCTCCCGGCCACTGTGAACTGGGTGGAGTCGTTGGCCGCTCCTTTGCCTTTTGTCTTCCAGGCTTCTTCTCGCACAGTGATGAGGTGCTTCCTCTCCTCGATGGTCATCTGGCTGCCCCGGCTCTCTGTGACCCGCTGGGTACAGAAGGTACAGAGGGGAGAGAGGGGAGAGAAATAGCAGAGATGTGAATTTTAGCTAGTAGCATTCCGTGGGCTCAAAAGCAGGCAAACAACGAGGAGTGATGCATTTCCCAAAAACGTCCATACGTGTTCTATCTAGAACAGTCTCTGAGATAGGATTGGCTTCTTTATTTCCAGTTCGGGTTAGAGATCACCATTAACAATGCTGAAACTTTAGGTTAAGACTTTGGTTTCCTTCACCTATTTATGTGGAACACCAAAATGCTACTTGGAAATAATAAACCAAAACAGACAGGCTGTCCTCATGCCATGACGTCTGCAGGGTTCTCAAGGTGCTCGGTTTCACCTGCCGGCTGAACTTAGTTGATCAGGAGGTGTTACACATGTATGCTCACAAACAACATGTCAACTTGGAGGACTTCCTCCATGTGAGCTCATAAGGGACACGGTCAGTTACTCAGTAGGGAAAGCTGATTAGGAATCAAGTGGGCTATAGGGAGGTTTTCTAGAACTCAGCATGCTTTTTCCTGGAGCAGCAATGTTATATGGGCAGTCAGGCAACCATGTCAGCCCATGAAGTAGTAAATTTAAACTGTGATATAGCCAACGCTGAGGACAAATGGTGCCACAGGCTGGCTATATACATACATATATACATATACACATATATGTGTATACATATATATGTGTTTTATATTTTATATATATACACATACGCATATATATATTGCTACCTAGAAATACTGCTTTTTGTTCCAGGTTTCTAACTGGGGGCTCTGGCGATCCTTGCCGCTTCAATCTCTGAGCCATTGGTGGCACTCCTGCAGCCTGGGGATAGGACCTCCATGTGACGGAAGGCACCAGGAAGGGAGGAGGCACTCAGGTGGGGACTGGGGATGAGGGTGAGGTGGGTGAGGTCAGAGGATGGGACGCAGGAATAGGGCAAGCAGGGGCTCAAGGAAGGAAGGTGGCAGGAAGGAAGAGTGTGGAGGAGGGTTGGGAGGTGATGCCAGGGCGGACGTTCTAAAACGTCGGCAGGAGAGTTTGCTTTCCCTCTTCCCTTGCAGGCACTCCTCCTCTCACTACAGACCCCGCTCTGTGGCTGAGCACAGGCGAAGAGCAGGGGCCAGGCTGGCTGTGCTCCCACAGGGGGCAGGTGCCGTGGGGACTGACGTGTGGAAGGAAGGGTGAGCACCCTCCACAGGGCAGAAGGAGCCTCCCGCGGCGGTCCCTGAGAAGTCATTCCTATGAAACGGGCTCTGGGATGGCCGTGAGCTGTGTTTGTTCTTCTTCTTTAATCTCACTAGCTTCTCACCGAGGAGGGAGGCCATTTTTGCTAGGGCATTTGCATTCAAACTAGAGCTGAGGGCTCCGTCACTTCCTCTGGCAGTTACACCAGGTCTTCTTCACGCATAAGGAGTTATTCCTTGGGTAAGAAGACTTCGGTGAGCATGCCACACACATCAAGGTGATCATAAGGCCTTTTCCAGACACAGCAGGGGCACTGGGGGCTCAGAGCGGAAGTCCCTCCTAGGGGCTCTGGGATTTTTTCCCTCCCCAACGTTCCATCCCACTATGGAAAATGAGCTTCTCTGAACTGACCAGCAGGAAAAGACTCTAGGTTCATGAAGGACAGGAAGAGAGCAGACATCTGCACAGTTCATTTCTGTACAGTCTTGGAATGATGGAGGACCCGGGGTTGGGGGGACGGGGTGCAGCGTAAGTACACAAGAAGAGTCTTTCCTCCCTCTCTATGGGTACAGTATGTGCACTTCTCCACCATCTCGCTTATGCATCTCCCTTTGACAGGATTCTTCTACACAGAATCACAGCCAGAACTGATCTGAGATGTTCGGTCATTTAGATTAGGTGAAAACCCTTTTCCTAAAGAGACGTGACAGTGGAATGCAGTGCCGGATCCTGGCTTCGATACTAGACGGGTGGGGCTAAAAAGGACACTACTGTTGTGTGTGCTGTTGAATCGATTCTGACTCACAGTGACCCTACAGGACAGAGAAGAACTGCCCCATGCCCCAAAGGGTTTCCTAGGCTCTAATCCTTATGAAAGCAGATCTCCAGGAGCCTCTGGTGGGTTTAAACTGCTGACCTTTTGTTTAGCAGCTGGGCACTTAACCATTGCACCACCAGGGCTCCTTAAGAAGGATATTAAAAAAAAAAAAAAGAAGTTGCCATCAAGTTGATTCTGACTCATAGCAACCCTACAGGACAGAGTAGAACTGCTCCATAAGGTTTCCAAGGCTGTAAATCTTTATGGAAGCAGACTGCCACATCTTTCTCCCTCGGAGTGGCTGATGGATTCGAACCGCCAACCTTTCAATTGGCAGCCAAGAGCTTAACCACTGTGCCACCAGAGCTCCTGTAAAAAGGACATTAAAAAACCAAAACCCCACTGCCATCGAGTTGATTCCAAGTCATAGGACCCTACAGGACAGAGTAGAACCATCCCCATAGGATTTCCAAGTAGTGGTTGGTGGATTCAAAACGCCCTCCTTCTGGTTAGCAGCTGTAGCTTGCCATAGCTCTTAACCACCACACCCCAAGCGCTCCAAAAAGGACATTAAACCAAAAAAACCAAACCCGTTGCCACTGAGTCGATTTTGATTCACAGCGACCCTAGAGGACAGAGTAGAACTGCCCCATAAGGTTTCCAAGGAATGGCTGGTGGATTCGAACTGCCGACCTTTTGGTTAGCAGTGGAACTCTTACCCACCGAGCCACCAGGGCCCCCAAAAAGACATCAAACCAAACCCAAACCAAACCCAATGCTGTCGAGTCGATTCCGACTCATCAAAATGAAGGCAGTTTGAGTATGCACTCTGGACTAAGTCAACATCATATCCATGTTAAAGTTCCTTATCTCGATCACTGTACTGTGCTTCTGTGAGAGAAATAGCTTGGAGTTGGGAAATACACACTAAAGAACTGAAAGGCAAAGGAGCATGAAGTCTCCAAGCTCCTCCTACGTGGTTCAGGAAAATCAAGATACGGACATAGGAGAGGGAGGGGAACGGAAGAGGGAGAAGGAAGGGGAGGGAAGGAAGGGCAACAAGAAGAGGAAGGGAGAAGCGAAAGTCAGGGGAAGAAGGGAGGGAGGGAGGGAGCGAATGCGCACTCGGTCACTGTAAAGGGGATGTGGGAGTGGCCTGTCTACTGTGGCACTTCTTCCCTCGAAGTTTGAAATTTTATCAAAATCAAAAGTGGTCAAAATTTTTAAAAAATCACTTTTCTTTACTTCCTCCCTCATGATGGGAGACATGACCCTGACTCCAAGTAACCTGGTGCCTCTGGAGCACACGCCCTTGGTAAACTATGAGGTGGCCTCTGCCTGGAAGACCTCATCAACACACAAGAAAGACAGTGAGTTTTCTCTCTCTTGAGTGAATTGTAATCATACCTATATGGTAATCATACCTGTATGGTAATCATACCTGTATGGTAATCATACCTATATGGTAATCATACCTATATGGCACTTGGCTTAAAATGTTTCTAGAAACACAGCAAGTGCCAAGAACGTCTGCTTCTCCAAAGGTCCAGACAGCACTAGATCTGTGGGTGAACTCAGAGTAACACATCCGCCACGTCCAGGGTGGGTACTGTGGTGTGGTTAATGCCTCAGAAAAATGGCGGCCCCACATCAAAAATTTCATTTCCCCGAGCACTTGGATTTCCCTATAGCTCCTGCCTGAACGTGGTGAGTATGAGCTTCCGTTAGTTCTCCAGATCTGTCAAGGAATACGTTTCCTCCCCTCTACGTAATAATATTGGAAATCCTGGTGGCATAGTGGTTAAGAGCTACCACTGCTAACCAAAAGGTCGGCAGTTCGAATCCACCAGGCGCTCCTTGGAAACTCTATGGGACACTTCTACTCTGTCCTGTAGGGTCACTATGAGTTGGAATTGACTCGACGGCAACGGGTTTGGTTTTTTTTTTTTGGTTTAAGTGATAATATTAAACATAAAAACAGGAATATTTTTTCTCCCCTCTAAGTAATAATATTAAACATAAGATTTTTGCCTCTCTACAAGTTTCTTCTTAATTTTGTTACTTAGTGGGGTTGGTTTAAAACCCACAAAACCAAATCTGTGGCCGTCAAATTGATTCTGACTCATAGTGACCCTATAGGACAGAGTAGAACTGCCCCATAGGGTTTCCAAGGCTGTGATCTTCACAGAAGCAGACTGCCACATCTTTCTCCTGCAGAGCAGCTGGTGGGTTTGAACCGCTGACCTTTTAGTTAGCAGCCAAGTGCTTTAACCACTGTGCCACTAGGGCCCCTTGCGGTTGGTTTCAAACCCAAAAACTTGTTGCGGTCGAGTCGATTCTGACTCGAACATGAGGTGAATTAACACCATCAGGGCTACCTAAACATCTGAGCCGAGGATACCAACATGTGTGCCTGACCCGACATAGATGAAGAACTGATTAAACACACACACTCACACCGTGAAAGGCAGCAAAGAGGTCACTTCCCCAAATGAAAGAAAAGTGCTTCCCTACAGCTAAGGAATTGCAATGAGGCTGAATATGTGTAGGTTTTTCCTCACCTGATTAACAGATACAAAAGACAGGTATTTATGGGCAGCAGGAATAGCAGGAGAATAAGTAGAAGCGTATACAGGTTCCTACAGAGCAAAGCAAGAGGATTAGAGGTGAAAAGAGAAAAGATTTACGAAAGCGGGCTAGGGGGTGGGGAGAGACAAAAACAACGGTGTTTCTAACACAATGCTAATTTAAAAATTTAAAAACCAAAAAACCAAACCCATTGCTTTCGAGTCAATTCCAACTCATAGCGACCCTATAGGACAGAGCAGAACTGCCCCATAGGGTTTCCAAGACTGTGATCTTTATGGAAGTAGATGCCACTCCCAAAGAGCAGCTGGTAGGTTCGAACCGCTAACCTTTTGGTTAGCAGCTAAGCATGTAACCACTGCACCACCAGGGCTCCTTAAATGTTAATTTACTTGTTACA